CGAGACACCCACACACACACGCGCGAGACACACACACACACACGCGAGACACCCACACACACGCGCGAGACACCCACACACACACGAGACACCCACACACACACACGCGAGACACCCACACACACACGCACACGCGAGACACCCACACACACACGCGAGACACCCTCACACACACGCGAGACACCCTCACACGCGAGACACCCACACGCACACGCACACGCGAGACACCCACACACACACGCGAGACACACACACACACGCGCGAGACACCCACACACACGCGAGACACACACCCACACACGCGAGACACACACCCACACACGCGAGACACACACCCACACACGCGAGACACACACACACACACGCGAGACACACACACACACACGCGAGACACACACACACACACGCACACGCGAGACACCCACACACACACGCGAGACACCCACACACACACGCACACGCGAGACACCCACACACACACGCGAGACACCCTCACACACACGTGCGTATGTCCACACACACAACGATGCTGTCACGAGCGTAGGCGATGCGCGTGTCCGTTTGTGCGGTGATGATCGTGGGTCGGTCGTGTCCCGGAAAGGCCACTCACCACCACCCCCCACATCGTCCACGTCTCGTAATGCCACCGATGACTTTAATTCGCGTGGCATGGACACGCGAACACTCCCCCCCCCCCCCCCCCCCCCCACTGATTAAACACTCAGAGGGCAAGGACCCCCCCCCCCCACTGATTAAACACTCAGAGGGCAAGGACCCCCCCCCCCCCCACTGATTAAGCACTCAGAGGGCAAGGACCTTCCCCCACCCCCACTGATTAAACACTCAGAGGGCAAGGACCCCCCTCCCACGCTCCAATTCCCACTCCCACCCCCCGGACGGCGAGGCATATTTACGTTATGCACACACACGTATGTCCACACACACGTATGTACACACACACGTATGTACACACACACACGCGTGTGTTCAAACACACACACGTATGTCCACACACACACACGTATGTCCACACACACGAATGTCCACACACACGTATGTACACACACACGTATGTACACACACACGTATGTACACACACACGTATGTACACACACACGCACGCGTATATCCACACACACGCGTATGTCCACACACACACACACACACACGCGCGTATGTCCACACACACACACGCTTATGTCCACACACACACACTGTGGCACACGAGGGGGCTGGGTGGCCAGCAACCACGCCCGGCCGCCTTTGTCTCCCCCCGGTGGAGATGCTGACGTACCGCACCAGGTACTCGTTTGAAGCCGAGTCGACCTAGCGGGAGGTCCAGGACCGGTTCAGATATTTATCGCAGATGTTGGTGGTGAACCGGAATCGAACTCGGGTCGCCGGGTTCGTAGCGCAATGTAGCGCTAACCGCTGCGCCACCACTCCCCCGCGTGTACACGCTACTCCACAGACACAAAGATAAAACATAGATCCCCCATATAGCCTTAACAGACTGTAGGGGCAAGTGCTGTTAGCGAGCACCTATGAAGGCCGGAACGGTACACGAGGGGGTGGGTGGCCAGCACCACGACCGACCGCCTTTGTCTCCCTAGTGGCAATGTTTACACACCACACCAGGTACTCATTTGAGGCTGAGTCGACCTAGGGGAGGCCCGGGACCGGTTCAGATAATCGTCACCGGTGTTGACCGTGAGCGGGAATCGAACCCGGGTCGCCAGGTTCATAGCCCAGCGCGCTAACCGCTACACTATCGCTCTCCACAGACACACACACACAGACACACACACGGAGACACACACGGAGACACACACGGAGACACACACGGAGACACACACAGAGAGACACACGGAGACACACACGGAGACACACACGGAGACACACACGGAGACACACACAGAGAGACACACGGAGACACACACGGAGACACACACGGAGACACACACGGAGAGACACACGGAGACACACACGGAGACACACACGGAGACACACACGGAGACACACACAGAGACACACACGGAGACACACACAGAGACACACACAGAGACACACACAGAGACACACACAGAGACACACACGGAGACACACACGGAGACACACACGGAGACACACACGGAGACACACACGGAGACACACACGGAGAGACACGAGAGAGACACACACAGAGCCACACACAGAGACACACACAGAGACACACACAGAGACACACACAGAGACACACACGGAGACACACACGGAGACACACACGGAGACACACACGGAGAGACACGAGAGAGACACACACAGAGCCACACACAGAGACACACACAGATACACACACAGAGACACACACGGAGACACACACAGAGACACACACGGAGACACACACAGAGACACACACGGAGAGACACGAGAGAGACCGAAATGAGGGAATGTTGCTGTCTTCAGTTGAATAAAAAGTGCAGTTCCTTTGGTGTTCGTTAGAGGCTGATCTTAGATTCACTCCGAGCGTTCGATAGCCCGAAAACAACTTTTGAGACGAGGCTCCAAAGAAAGCTGTCTCTGGTGTGGACCAATCAGTATCAAAGACAATGCATATATTGTCAGAGGATGTTTTTTTTTGTTTGCATTCTGACCACAAGTATTGTGGTTCATGCAAGACACGATTCCTTGTAAAAGGTTTCAGTTTGGTGTTTTAAAATCTTAACAGCTGTTTTGTTGCCATAAAAAATGGGAAAACCTATTCTCGTCTATGGGAGCCTTTAACATTGAAGTCTATGGGAGCCTTTAACATTGAAGTCTATGGGAGCCTTTAACATTGAAGTGTATGGGAGCCTTTAACATTGAAGTGTATGGGAGCCTTTAACATTGAAGTGTATGGAAGCCTTTAACATTGAAGTCGATGGGAGCCTTTAACATTGAAGTGTATGGAAGCCTTTAACATTGAAGTCGATGGGAGCCTTTAACATTGAAGTCTATGGGAGCCTTTAACATTAAAGTCTATGGGAGCCTTTAACATTGAAGCCTATGAGAGCCTTTAACGTTGAAGTCTATGGGAGCCTTTAACATTGAAGTCTATGGGAGCCTTTAACATTGAAGTCTATGGGAGCCTTTAACATTGAAGTGTATGGAAGCCTTTAACATTGAAGTCGATGGGAGCCTTTAACATTGAAGTCTATGGGAGCCTTTAACATTAAAGTCTATGGGAGCCTTTAACATTGAAGCCTATGAGAGCCTTTAACGTTGAAGTCTATGGGAGCCTTTAACATTGAAGTGTATGGGAGCCTTTAACATTGAAGTCTATGGGAGCCTTTAACATTGAAGTGTATGGGAGCCTTTAACATTGAAGTGTATGGGAGCCTTTAACATTGAAGTGTATGGGAGCCTTTGACGTTGAAGTCTATGGGAGCCTTACCATTGAAGTGTATGGGAGCCTTTAACGTTGAAGTCTATGGGAGCCTTTACCATTGAAGTGTATGGGAGCCTTTAACATTGAAGTGTATGAGAGCCTTTAACGTTGAAGTCTATGGGAGCCTTTAACATTGAAGTGTATGGGAGACTTTAACATTGAAGTCTATGGGAGCCTTTAACATTGAAGTGTATGGGAGCCTTTAACGTTCAAGTCTATGGGAGCCTTTACCATTGAAGTCTATGGGAGCCTTGTGGGTTGGTGAGAGGCAGAGAGAGACATGATGACTCGGCACCTCTTGATCAATACCACGGTTGTCGTCGTACGGCGGTGCAAAAGAAGTGTAAAGCTCGTTCATAGCCCCCAGGGCGATTGTAGGTGGGACCCCTGGGAGGGATTGTAAGTGGGACCCCTGGGAGGGATTGTAAGTGGGACCCCTGGGAGGGATTGTAAGTGGGACCCCTGGGAGGGATTGTAAGTGGGACCCCTGGGAGGGATTGTAAGTGGGACCCCTGGGAGGGATTGTAAGTGGGACCCCTGGGAGGGATTGTAAGTGGGACCCCTGGGAGGGATTGTAAGTGGGACCCCTGGGAGGGATTGTAAGTGGGACCCCTGGGAGGGATTGTAAGTGGGACCCCTGGGAGGGATTGTAAGTGGGACCCCTGGGAGGGATTGTAAGTGGGACCCCTGGGAGGGATTGTAAGTGGGACCCCTGGAAGAGATTGTAAGTGGGACCCCTGGGAGTGATTGTAAGTTGGACCCCTGGGAGGGATTGGAAGTGGGACCCCTGGGAGGGATTGTAAGTTGGACCCCTGGGAGGGATTTAAGTGGGACCCCTGGGAGGGATTGTAAGTTGGACCCCTGGGAGGGATTGTAAGTGGGACCCCTGGGAGGGATTGTAAGTGGGACCCCTGGGAGGGATTGTAAGTGGGACCCCTGGGAGAGATTGTAAGTAGGACCCCTGGGAGGGATTGTAAGTGGGACTCCGAGGAGGGATTGTAAGTGACCCTCCCCCTCCGCGTCATTCAGCCCTCCCACCCAACCCTCACCCCCCACCTCCTTGCCTTGATCTCCCTTCTCCCCCACCCCCTCTTCCCGCTGCCCCTCCCCTCCCTCCCCTCCCCTCCTTCCCCTCCCTCCACTCCCCTCCCTCCCCTCCCTCCTCTCCCTCCCCTCCCTCCCCTCCCCTCCCTCACCTCCCTCCACTCCCCTCCCTCCCTCCACTCCCTCCACTCCCTCTACTCCCCTCCCTCCCCTCCCCTCCCTCCCCTCCCCGTTGTCTAGAGACGCCGCCGCGGCCACCGCTGGCGGCGCTGTCCCTGGTGCTGAATGTGAGTGGCGCGCGCGCTGCTCGGGATCCGGGGCAGGGTGGGTGCAGGGTGGGTGCAGGGTGGGTGCAGGGTGGGTGCAGGGTGGGGGCAGGGTGGGTGCAGGGTGGGGGCAGGGTGGGTGCAGGGTGGGGGCAGGGTAGGGGCAGGGTGGGTGCAGGGTGGGGGCAGGGTGGGGGCAGGGTGGAGGGAGGAGTGGGAGGATCAAGAAGGAATGGGGGCATAGACGAGGCAGGGGTGGGTGGGTAGGGGGAGCAGCAGGGAGGGGTACGAGGCCCGTGGCCGAGGCTTCTAGAGGCTCTCCGTGCTCAGAGGCAACAAGTGGCGAGGCGGCGGTGAGCACGGGGGGCGGGGGGGAGGCGATGAATGGAGGGAGAGACGGAGCGAGAGAGAGACAACAAACATCGAACCCGATGCCTCTCTCTCTCTCGTCCGTCAGAGGTTTTTTTCAGTCGTCCTCCGACTACTAACAACAACAACGACGACTAACAACGACGACTAACAACGGCCGCCATTCGTCAATTAGTCGGCGGGCGACGCGAGCACGCCGCTGGTGCCAGGCTAGGTTCACCCGCTTCGAAAGGGCGGCAATAATAACCACAGACAGCGCGAGCCGTTCTTGGGGTACGGGGGACGGAGGGGGTGGTAGAGGTGGTGGTGGAGGTGTAGGTGGGAGTGAAGGGGAGGAGGAGGGGAGGAGGAGGAGGAGGGAGCCACATACATAATTGAACTCGCGATAAATGTTGTAGCAAGAAGTTCGCATCGCGTCTCCGATGTCCGAGCCTCCGCGTTGACCCTTCCATCCCGCCGCCGAGCCATCGGAACCGCCGCCGCCGCCGATGTCCTCGGTTCCTCCGCCGCCCCTCTCGGGCCCCTCCTTCGCCGTGGGGGGCCCTGGGCGACCCGCCGTGGGGCGGCCCCTGTCCGCCAACGTCCGCAAGCTGCACGGGGCCCTGGGCTCGCTGCTCAGCGACTCGGAGCGCCTGGCGCTGCTCCGACGCCTGCGCGAGTATCAGGCGCGGCGCAACGTTCACGACCTCGTCACCGCCCTCCGCGACCTTCGCCTCGACTGCCCGCCCAGGCGCCACCTGCTGCCCCTGCTACGGCAGGTGCTGCCCGCGGCCGACCAGCTGCTCTTCGACACCTACACGTCGCGCGGTTGCTGCCTGGGGCAGCAGCAAGGAGCTGCTGCTCGTGACGGTGACGGTGGCGGCGGTGGCGGTGGTGCCGACGCAGCCACCCTGCCCATCAGAGTGTCGTACAACTTCCCCAGGTAGCGAGGAGGAGGGGGGTTGGTTGGTTGGTTGGTGGAGATTGCAATCGTGTAGGTGGTGGATGTGTTTCTCTGTTGATGGTAGTACAGTTGGCGCATGATGTATTGGTGGTAGTACAAGTGGTGGATGTAGTATTGGTGGTAGTGGAGGTAGTGGATGTAGTATTGGTGGTAGTAGAGGTAGTAGATGCAGTATTGGTGGTAGTAGAGATAGTGGATGTAGTATTGGTGGTAGTAGAGGTAGTGGATGTAGTATTGGTGGTAGTAGAGGTAGTGGATGTAGTATTGTTGGTAGAAGAGGTAGTGGTTGTAGTGTTGATGGTAGTAGACGTAGTGGATGTAGTATTGGTGGTAGTAGAGGTAATGGATGCAGTGTTGGTGGTAGTAGAGGTAATGGATGCAGTATTGGTGGTAGTAGAGGTAGTGGATGTAGTATTGGTGGTAGTAGAGGTAGTGGATGTAGTATTGGTGGTGGTAGATGTAGTGGATGTAGTATTGGTGGTGGTAGTGGATGTAGTTTTGGTGGTAGTAGAGGTAGTGGATGTAGTATTGGTGGTAGTAGAGGTAGTGGATGTAGTATTGGTGGTGGTAGAGGTCGTCGATGTAGTATTGGTGGTGGTAGAGGTAGTGGTTGTAGTATTGGTGGTAGTAGAGGTAGTGGATGTAGTATTGGTGGTGGTAGAGGTAGTGGATTTAGTATTGGTGGTGGTAGATGTAGTGGATGTAGTATTGGTGGTAGTAGAGGTAGTGGATGTAGTATTGGTGGTAGTAGAGGTTGTGTATGTAGTATTGGTGGTAGTGGAGGTAGTGGATGTAGTATTGTTGGTAGAAGAGGTAGTGGTTGTAGTGTTGATGGTAGTAGACGTAGTGGATGTAGTATTGGTGGTAGTCGAGGTAGTGGATGTAGTATTGGTGGTAGTAGAGGTAGTGGATGTAGTATTGGTGGTAGTCGAGGTAGTGGATGTAGTATTGGTGGTAGTAGAGGTAGTGGATGTAGTATTGGTGGTAGTAGAGGTAGTTGTTGTAGTATTGGTGATAGTCGAGGTAGTGGATGTAGTATTGGTGGTAGTAGAGGTAATGGATGCAGTATTGGTGGTGGTAGAGGTAGTGGATGTAGTATTGGTGGTGGTAGATGTAGTGGATGTAGTATTGGTGGTGGTAGAGGTAGTGGATGTAGTATTGGTGGTAGTAGAGGTAGTGGATGTAGTATTGGTGGTGGTAGAGGTAGTGGATTTAGTATTGGTGGTGGTAGATGTAGTGGATGTAGTATTGGTGGTGGTAGAGGTAGTGGATGTAGTATTGGTGGTAGAAGAGGTGGTGGATGTAGTATTGGTGGTAGTCGAGTTAGTGGATGTAGTATTGGTGGTAGTAGAGGTAGTGGATGTAGTATTGGTGGTAGTAGAGGTAGTGGATGTAGTATTGGTGGTGGTAGAGGTAGTGGATGTAGTATTGGTGGTAGTAGAGGTATTGGATGTAGTTTTGGTGGTAGTAGAGGTAGTGGATGTAGTATTGGTGGTAGTAGAGGTAGTGGATGTAGTAGTGATGGTAGTAGAGGTAGTGGTTGTAGTATTGGTGGTAGTAGAGGTAGTGGATGTAGTATTGGTGGTGGTAGAGAGGTAGTGGATATAGTATTGGTGGTAGTACAGATGGTGGATGTAGTATTGGTGGTGGTAGAGGTGGTGGATGTAGTATTGGTGGTAGTACATTTATACTTACGCAATACTGTATAACCAAAAAACATTTATTATGAGGAATGTAGAATATTTTCATCGTTCCTGGGCCTTCTTTAGGGGGAATCAGCCTCAAGGAGTAACATGTGTGATGTTTAAAAATCGCCACTGGGGAGACAAAGGCGGCCGGACAGGCGTGGTGCTGGCCACCCACCCCCTCGTGTGCTGTAGCGGCCTTCATAGGTGCTACTTGCCTTAATAGTCTGTTAAGGCTATACAGGCGATTTTTGTCTTTAACGTAGGTATGGCAATATGGTGGTGGTGGTGATGGCAGTGATGGTTGTAATGAATGTGTTCATGCTGATGGTGTTGATGTGGTCGTAGTGATTGTGGAAATGCTGATGATATGATGTTGTGGTGATTGCGTGAATGATGATGGTGGTGATGTGGTGCTGGTGATGATGTGAATGCTGATGGTGGTGATGTGGTGGTGGTGATTATGTGAATGCTGCTTATGTGATGTGGTGATTGTGTTAATGCTCATGATGTGATGTGATGATTGTGTGAACGCTGATGGTGGTGATGTGGTGGTGATTATATTAATGCTGATGGTGGTGATGTGATGTGCTGGTGGTTATGTTAGTGGTAGTAGTGGTGGTTTTGGTTGTATTCGTGGTGGTCATGTTGATCATGTGGTCATTTTGATGGTGGTGGGGATGGTGGTGTTGATAATGGTGGTCGCGGTATATATAGTTGTGGAGGAAGCGATGAGGCATGCAAGCGTGGTGGTGGTGGTGGTGTTCATGTCTCCCTGACTCCACCTTTTTCATAGCTCCACACACGCCTCCTTCAGCTCCATCAGCTGCGCTTCTTGCGGGAGAGCAACAGAGGCGGAAATCAGGCCTCACCAACCCACCCAGACGACAAACGGACCTCACCAACCCACTCAGGTGACATTCAGGACTCATCAACCCACTCAGGTGACAGGTGACGTGCAGGACTCACCAACCCACTCAGGTGACATTCAGGACTCACCAACCCACTCAGGTGACACTCAGGACTCACCAACCCACTCAGGTGACATTCAGGACTCACCAACCCACTCAGGTGACATTCAGGACTCGCCAATCCACTCAGGTGACACCCAGGACTCACCAATCCACTCAGGTGACATTCAGGACTCACCAATCCACTCAGGTGACATTCAGGACTCACCAACCCACTCAGGTGACATTCAGGACTCACCAACTCACTCAGGTGACATTCAGGACTCACCAACCCACTCAGGTGACATTCAGGACTCACCACCCCACTCAGGTCACATTCAGGACTCACCAACTCACTCAGGTGACACTCAGGACTCACCAATCCACTCAGGTGACATTCAGGACTCACCACCCCACTCAAGTGACATTCAGGAGTCAGCACCCCACTCAGGTGACATTCAGGACTCACCAACCCACTCAGGTGACACTCAGGACTCACCAACCCACTCAGGTTGGCTACGTACCGTGTGGAAGAAGTTCAACGTGCATACATGTGACATGCAGTTGACATACGGGCTTAATTGTGCAATCCAGAGCCTGACTGTGCCACCCAGGTGACATACAGGCCTCAGTTTGTTAGCCACGTGACATGATGGGCCCAATCAACCCCACCCTGGTGACACCATCTCGGCCACGTAACGAGCTGGCCAAATGTTTGCCATGAAACAGCCCCCGAATTAACATGATATTCCCATCCTGCTGCGGCCATGTATATTCATGAGTAGCTATCATGAATAATGCATGCGATGGTAACCAATGACCCAGATAAATGAGAATTAAATTAGAATGCATTCATTTTCCACGGTTAATTTCTTTGCTTGAATTTGATTGGTTGTTCCTGCGTTGTCATGACGCCTGTTTAAGAAACGAGGTAAGGCGACACGCTTATTTCTGCCTTTCATGGTTGGGGGCCGTCCATAAATGACGTCACGCACCTAGGGAGGGGGGGTCAGACATTTGTTATAACAACACTCCTACAACATCAGAGTGGCAGCGCCACATTAAATACGCACTACAATGACAATAGTTTAAAGCGATTTGAAGCATGTTTTATTTTCAAAATGGAAATGTGTTTTTTTTGGGGGGGCAGAGCTTTGTGACGTCATATTTGAGGGGGGGTCTGACTTTTTGTGACGCCGTGTGACGAGGGGGGGGGGGGGGTCAAAAATCGTCCAAAATCGCGTGACGTCATTTATGGAGAGCCCCTTATGACCCGAGTTTGCTAGATGCAGTTTCAAGCAAAGCTTTGTTTTATATAAACGGCTGCTAAATCTGGCCGTGAGAATTTTACTCTTAACGCCTAACTGGCGAATGGAGCTGAAACCAACATTAATTATTATTACAATCACATACCTGTCAACCCCTTATCAGTGCCCTACCTTATTATAGACAAATTCAGACCTTATTGGTCACCCTGTGCCCTTACACAAAGTCCCATCACAAGTGAGAAACACAGACAAATAGACACGTCTTTTTTTTGCCCGTATCGAGACGGCTGTATGGACTTGAAACTCAATTTCCCTCGACAATACTATGGGTTAACCGTAAGGGTTGACAGGTTTGCAATTTGGCACGTTGTTTACACGCTTCTACGCGTGACGATTGGACATTTGGCTGCGTCGGGTGGTGGAGAGTTCTTAAACGACACATTTGATCAGGTCCTTACATTGACTAACCCGAAAAAAATCACTTGTGAATGACAATATTAATCCATAACACAGGTTTTTTTTGGGGTTTGATCGCATAAATATTTAAATGTGTCGTTAAACCCGCCACCACCCGGCACTGCCAATTAAGTAAGGGTTGCCACGTATATTTACGCGATCTAACCCCAAAAAAACCTGTATTATGGATGATATTGGTCGTGAAAGCCTACGTGTTAAACTCACGAATATTTATTTATTTTGCTCACTTTTTTGTTATCATTCATGTCCCTCTATCTTCGGAGCAGGGTTACGACAGCTCTCTTGAAAAAAAAAGGTGTTTTACGTAAATTTAATTTCATCCTCTCTTCTTGCGTGATGCAATATGGTCCCGGGGTCAAAGGCCAGCGTCGATGTCTGCCAGCCACAAGAATAACAATAGGAGTAGACTTTTACCCTCTTCTGGCAAATAAAACAGGTGTTAAGATGTTCAAACACCAAATAAGATGCATTTTGCGAAGGAATCAAGTCTGTAGTAACCACACGTACTTATGGCAAAACATGAAAACATGCTTTGATAATATGGGCATTGTTTGCTTTCATGTTTTTTTCCACAAGTACTTGTGGTTAATGGAGACTTCATTCCTTGCAAAAAGGTGTCTTTGTTCTTGTTTTTCATACTTTCATACTGGCAATTATAGACGGCCAGGGAGAATTTATCAAAGGATTGGACAAAATTACGAGAAAAAAATCATAATTTATTACATGGGCCTTTGTGATGTCACACACTATGAATGATGATGAGTGACTGGGTCTACCCCAGTCTCTCTCTCCGATTTCCTTGCCCGGGCAGGTGCGAGCACCTGGGTAGGGATACTGGGTGAGGAAGGCATGGTCATGGCGAGGACACTAGGCCTCAAAAGTGTTTTATGTTAAAAATCAACCAATTGTCAACGAGGTGACTTTAACACGTGCACGTCATGTAGGTGCACGTGGTGTCATATTTTCTTAATTTCATCGTATTAATTGTAAACGCAGTTGAGGCCTAGTGTCTGCGGGAACAGGCCTGCACCGCCTGGTTTCCCTGCCCTGGTCATCGTTGCCTCTCCAGGCAGAGGAATTGGGAGGAGACTGAGGACAGGCCTAAGTCACCTCCTCGTGTGCCCACTGTGTCCACCTTCACCCCTATATGTGACCCCCGTGTCTCCCGCGTTGTCCCCATGTCATTCACCCCCCATGTGTTTCCCCCAGGGCGAGAACTTGAGAGTAACTCTGGGTCATCACCAAAGTGACAACGATAAAATAATTTAAAGCAGATCGAGGAAGCGAATAGAAATCAGGACAAAAGCAACAACGTGTGACACCCACGTTGCTGCGTGTTGGGCCGCGCGTGTGATGCCGTGGTGTGGGGGGGACGGTAATGTAGCGGTTGCCGCATGGCGCTACAAACCTGGTGACCCGAGTTCATACCTGTCAACCCCTTAACAGTGCCTACCATATTACAGACCAATTCAGGCCTTATTGGTCACCCCGTGCCCATTATAAATCTCAACGTTCATCACAAGGGAGAAACACAAACAAATAGACAAAAATAAATGTTGCCCATATTGAAACGGCTGTACACCCTATGGATCTTAAAACTCACGTTCCGTGTACAAGAATACGGGGTAAACCGAAGGGGTTGAACAGGCACGTGAGTTTGATTCCCGCTCACGACCGACACCAGCGACGATTATCTTAACCATCCCTGGGCCTCTCCCTAGGTTGACTCAGCCTCAAACGAGTACCTGGTGCGGCGTGTGTAAAACATCGCCTCCGGGGAGGCAAAGGCGGCCGGGCGTGGTTGCTGGCCACTACCCCCCTCCACCTCGTGCGCCGTGCCAGCCTTCGTAGGTTCTGCTACTCGCTAACGGCACTTGTCCCCAACAGCCTGTTAAGGCTATACAGGGGAGGACCTTTATCTTTGTGTCACCTTGCCCGTGCTACCCCCCCCTTCCCCCCCCCCCCCCCCACAGTCCCGCCAGGCCTTGCCTCCCCAGGCCTCGGTGCGTCGCGTGCTGCTGGAGAGGGGGTCCCGGGGTGCCCCGGCGCCGCTGGGGCTGAGCGTGCGGGGTGGCGCCGAGCACGGTCTGCCCGTGGCGGTGGGCCGCGTGGCTCCCGACTCACTCGCCTGGCAGTGCGGCCTGCGACCCGGTGACCTCGTCCTGAGGGCCAACGGCGTCGTCCTGCACAACGGTGTGACGCACCAGGACGCCGTGCGGGTGGGTGCAATGAACGTGGTGGCGCAACTATGGGGGGAGTGGGTTTAGTGTGGGGTGGGGGGTCGGGGGGCGGTATGAATACCGTGTCAACCCATATGGTTTACCCCGTATCCTTGTTCCAGGGAAATTTGAGTTTCCAGGTCCGTACGGCGTATAGCCGTTTCAATGCGGGCAAATGGAAAATGTCTCTTTGTTTGTGTTTCTCCCTTGTGATGGGACTTTGTAGGATGAGCGTTGAGATGTGCAAAGGAACGGGTGACCAATAGGGTCTGAATTGGTCCGTAAGAAGGTAGGGCACTGATGATAAGGTGTCGACAGGTATGGTCATTGCGCCCCTGGGTGCAAAGACGAAGGCGTAGGATCCGCCGACCGTGGTAGCCCTTAACCGACAAGGCAACTGCCGCTGGGCGAGTAGGCACCGTGGGACCTCCCAATTTCCAACGTTCCAACGCCGCCAGCGGTCGACCATCGGCCAAATCGGGACCGGGACGCCAGGGTTGGCCGACGCCGGCCAACCCTGGCGTCCCGAATGGCGCGCCTCGGAAGAATTCGGCGGCCTGCGAGTGGTGCGGCCACGAATCGCGAAGCGTCGACCGCACCGTGAACCGTCCGCCGCCGTGAAGGGAGGAACGGGACGAGATCCGCTCTGCGTCTGAACAGACAATTGGGTGGACGACACGCCTAAAATGGCGTCTCTTTAATATTCCGTAATGAATCCACGCGAAAGAGGAAGGCCTGCGAAAGGCGGCACGGTGCGTAACGAGGGAGGGGGGTGGTCAGCACCACGCTCTGCTGTCTATGTCTCCCTAGTGGTGATGTCCACGCACCACGCCAAGGTACTCAACTGTGGCCGGGTCAATCTCGAGGAGGCCCAAGACCGGCTCAAATCATCATTGTCACTGGTGTTGGGTTTATGAGCGGGAAATTAACGCGGGGCCGCCGGATTCGTAGCGCGGTATGCAAACCAATACACGCCTACTAACCGCCCCGGGTGCGTACACAGCAAAAAGACAAAGATTCCCCGTACAGCCTGACCAGACTGTTGGGGAAAGTGCTGCTCGCGAGCGCCTATGACGGCCGGAACGGCACACGAGGGGGTCGGTGGCCAGCACCACGCCTTGGCCGCCTTTGTCTCCTCAGTGGCGATGTTTGCACACCACACCAGGTACTCATTTGAGGCTGAGTCGACCTAGGGGAGGCCCATTACCGGTTAAGATAGCCGTAGCTGGTGTTGGCTGTGGGAGAAATGAACGCAGGTTTTTCCGGGTTTGCAGCGCAGTGCGCAAACCAATACACTACCGCGAATCGTCAGCGTGGGTACAAACACAAACACGTGCACGGTGTGTTGCACCACCACGTCACAGCACCGCCGTGAGGTTGGGCACACCCAGGAACGGGGACCGTGATGGGGATGACCGCGCCGGTGACGCTGGTGGTGATGCCTGGCACAGCAGGGGCTACGGCCGGTGCATTTAGCGGTCATCTCAGTCAGCCGACCCATGGCACCCGCTGGGTCCGTCTCGAGACCTCCACCTGTCAGCGAGCCTCCGGCACTTCGCACGTCGCCTCAAAGTGCACCTGGCCTGGCACAGGGGCCGTGGTGACGTGACCGGCACTTAGTGGCGAATGGCGGCTGTCGGTATTGGTATTGGCGGTGGTCACGTGACCGCCCAACCCCCACGCTCACGTGACCATCCCCCCCCCACGCTCACGTGACCATCCCCCCCCCACGCTCACGTGACCGTCTCCCCCCCCCCCCCCCCACGCTCACGTGACCATCCCCCCCCCACGCTCACGTGACCGTCCCCCCCCCACGCTCACGTGACCGTCCCTCCCCCCCACGCTCACGTGACCATCCCCCCCCAACGCTCACGTGACCGTCCCCCCACGCTCACGTGACCATCCCCCCCCAACGCTCACGTGACCGTCCCCCCCCCACGCTCACGTGACCGTCCCCCCCCACGCTCACGTGACCTCCCCCCCCACGCTCACGTGACCATCCCCCCCCAACGCTCACGTGACCATCCCCCCCCAACGCTCACGTGACCGTCCCCCCCCCCACACTCACGTGACCGTCCCCCCCCCACGCTCACGTGACCCCCCCCCACGCTCACGTGACCATCCCCCCCCCACGCTAACGTGACCGTCCCCCCCCCCAACGCTCACGTGACCGTCCCCCCCCCCCCACGCTCACGTGACCGTCCCCCCCCCCACAAGCTCACGTGACCGTCCCCCCCCCCCCACGCTCACGTGACCGTCCCCCCCCCCCACGCTCACGTGACCATCCCCCCCCCACGCTCACGTGACCATCCCCCCCACGCTCACGTGACCGTCCCCCCCCAACGCTCACGTGACCCCCCCCCTACGCTCACGTGACCATCCCCCCCCAACGCTCACGTGACCGTCCCCCCCCCACGCTCACGTGACCGTCCCCCCCCCACGCTCACGTGACCGTCCCCCCCCCCCCACGCTCACGTGACCGTCCCCCCCCACGTGACCATCCCCCCCCAACGCTCACGTGACCATCCCCCCCAACGCTCACGTGACTATCCCCCCCCAACGCTCACGTGACCATCCCCCCCCACGCTCACGTGACCATCCCCCCCCAACGCTCACGTGACCATCCCCCCCAACGCTCACGTGACTATCCCCCCCCAACGCTCACGTGACCATCCCCCCCCACGCTCACGTGACCGTCCCTCCCCCCCACGCTCACGTGACCATCCCCCCCCACGCTCACGTGACCATCCCCCCCACGCTCACGTGACCGTCCCCCCCCCAACGCTCACGTGACCCCCCCCTACGCTCACGTGACCATCCCCCCCCAACGCTCACGTGACCGTCCCCCCCCCCACGCTCACGTGACCGTCCCCCCCCACGCTCACGTGACCGTCCCCCCCCCCCCACGCTCACGTGACCGTCCCCCCCCACGTGACCATCCCCCCCCAACGCTCACGTGACCATCCCCCCCAACGCTCACGTGACTATCCCCCCCCAACGCTCACGTGACCATCCCCCCCCCACGCTCACGTGACCATCCCCCCCCAACGCTCACGTGACCATCCCCCCCAACGCTCACGTGACTATCCCCCCCCAACGCTCACGTGACCATCCCCCCCCACGCTCACGTGACCGTCCCTCCCCCCCACGCTCACGTGACCATCCCCCCCCAACGCTCACGTGACCGTCCCCCCCCCACGCTCACGTGACCGTCCCTCCCCCACGCTCACGTGACCGTCCCTCCCCCCCCCACGCTCACGTGACCATCCCCCCCCAACGCTCACGTGACCGTCCCCCCCCCACGCTCACGTGACCGTCCCTCCCCCACGCTCACGTGACCGTCCCTCCCCCCCCCCCACGCTCACGTGACCGTCCCCCAACGCTCACGTGACCCCCCCCCCCCACGCTCACGTGACCATCCCCCCCCCAACGCTCACGTGACCGTCCCCCCCCCACGCTCACGTGACCGTCCCCCCCCACGCTCACGTGACCGTCCCCCCCCCCACGCTCACGTGACCGTCCCCCCCCCCCACGTGACCATCCCCCCCCAACGCTCACGTGACCATCCCCCCCCAACGCTCACGTGACCATCCCCCCCCAACGCTCACGTGACCGTCCCCCCCCCCCACGCTCACGTGACCGTCCCCCCCCACGCTCACGTGACCCCCCCCCCCCACGCTCACGTGACCGTCCTCCCCCCCACGCTCACGTGACCATCCCCCCCCCACGCTCACGTGACCATCCCCCCCCCACGCTCACGTGACCGTCCCTCCCCCCCGCTCACGTGACCGTCCCTCCCCCCCCCCACGCTCACGTGACCATCCCCCCCCAACGCTCACGTGACCGTCCCCCCCCCACGCTCACGTGACCGTCCCTCCCCCACGCTCACGTGACCGTCCCTCCCCCCCCCACGCTCACGTGACCGTCCCCCAACGCTCACGTGACCCCCCCCCCCACGCTCACGTGACCATCCCCCCCCCAACGCTCACGTGACCGTCCCCCCCCCCACGCTCACGTGACCGTCCCCCCCCACGCTCACGTGACCGTCCCCCCCCCCCACGCTCACGTGACCGTCCCCCCCCCCCACGTGACCATCCCCCCCCAACGCTCACGTGACCATCCCCCCCCAACGCTCACGTGACCATCCCCCCCCAACGCTCACGTGACCGTCCCCCCCCCCCACGCTCACGTGACCATCCCCCCCACGCTCACGTGACCATCCCCCCCCCACGCTCACGTGACCGTCCCTCCCCCCACGCTCACGTGACCGTTCCCCCCCCCACGCTCACGTGACCGTCCCCCCCCCCCACGCTCACGTGACCGTCTCCCCCCCCACGCTCACGTGACCGTCCCCCCCCACCCTCACGTGACCATCCCCCCCCCCCACGCTCGCGTGACCGCCCCCCCCCCACGCTCACGTGACCGTCCCCCCCACGCTCACGTGACCATCCCCCCCCCACGCTCACGTGACCGTCCCTCCCCCCACGCTCACGTGACCGTTGCCCCCCCCCACGCTCACGTGACCGTCCCTCCCCCCCACGCTCACGTGACCGTCCCCCCCCACGCTCACGTGACCGTCCCCCCCCCCCACGCTCATGTGACCCCCCCCACGCTCACGTGACCGTCCCCCCCCCCCCCACGCTCGCGTGACCGTCCCCCCCCCCCCCCACGCCCGCCCAGGTGCTGCGCTCAGGCCGCAGGCTGGACCTCACCGTGCTGTCCGTCCCCCCGGCCACCGAGACAACCACCGCGGGCGCAGCCGCACCGACACCACCACCACCACCGCACCACCGCCGCCACCGCACGTGGGGGGACACGTGGTGGGGCCATGCGGCCGAGGCGGGGGGAGGGGGTGGCCCCCCTCCCGATCGCCCGGGCGGGAGAGCGGACTGCGAGGCGCCCGGCGCGGAGGAGCGCGGCAGCCTCCGGCTGCTGAGCAACGGCGACGAGAGGAAGGTGGGGGGCACGCAGAGTGGTGGGGAGTGTGGGGGGGTGGGGTGAGGATTCATCCCGTCCATAGGGCCGCCTGCCCTCCGAGGCGACAATTATTGTCAATGTCGTGGTAGCGGGGCCCAGTGGAACCTCGTCTTGGCCTCAAGGAGCCACCCACTCACCCACTGACCCACCCACCCACCCAGTCACCCACTGACCCACCCACTCACCCACTGACCCACTTACTCACTCACTAACCTGCCCACTCACCTACTGACCCACTCACCCAGTCACCCACTTACCGACCCACTCACCCACTGGCCCACCCACTCACCCACTGACCCACTTACTCACTAACCTGCCCACTCACCTACTGACCCACTCACCCAGTCACTCACTTACCCACCTACTCACTCACTAACCCGCCCACTCACCCACTGACCCACCCACCCACCCACTCACCCACTGACCCACCCACTCACCCACTGACCCACCCACTCACCCACTGACCCACTCACTAACCTGCCCACTCACCTACTGACCCACTCACCCAGTCACCCACTTACCGACTCACTCACCCACTGGCCCACCCACTCACCCACTGACCCACTTACTCACTCACTAACCTGCCCACTCACCTACTGACCCACTCACCCAGTCGCTCACTTACCGACCGACTCACCCACTGACCCACCCACTCACTCACTGACCCACCCACCCAGTCACCTACTTACCGACCCATTCACCCACCGACCCACTTACTCACTCACTAACCTGCCTACTCACCTACTGACCCACTCACCCAGTCGCTCACTTACCGACCGACTCACCCACTGACCCACCCACTCACTCACTGACCCACCCACCCAGTCACCCACTTACTGACCCACTCACCCACTGACCCACCTACTCACTCACTAACCCGCCCACTCACCCACTGACCCACCAAGTCACCCAGTTACCGACCCACTCACCCACTCACCCACTAACCCATCGACTCACCTACTGACCCACCCACCCATCCACTCACTCGTGCAATCTAGACTCCTATTGTGACCGCTTGACCTCTCTGCCCGAGTTCAACACGATCAGGTGAGCGTGTTGCCGTGGTGCAGGTGAGCGTGTTGTTACCGTGTTCCTGTGGTTCCGTCGTGCTGGTGAGCATGTTGTTCCCATGTTCCCGTGTTGTTCCCATGTCCCTGCGTTCCCACGGTGCAGGTGAACGTGTTCCCGTGCTGTTCCCATGTCCCTGCGTTCCCACGGTGTAGGTGAACGTGTTCCCGTGCTGTTCCCATGTCCCTGTGTTGCCGTGGTGCAGGTGAGCGTGTTATTACCGTGTTCCTGTGTTCCCATGGCGCAGGTGAGCGTGTTCCCGTGCTGTTCCCATGTCCCTGTGTTCCCACGGTGCAGGTGAGCGTGTTCCCGGCCTCCGGCCGCGCCCCGCTGGGGCTCGTGGTTCGAGGCGGCTCCGACTTCGGCCTCGGCATCTTCGTGTCCGGCCTCGACCCGGGCGGCGCTGCCGAGAGCGCGGGCCTCCAGGTAAGGTCCGTTTTGAGGCCGAGTCGACCTAGAGGGTAGCGGCGGCGGCGGGGGACGACGCCGGCGAAACGGGGGAGACAAAACCCCAGGCGGCGCCGCGGCACGAGTTCACATCGGCATTTAATTTTTTTTTTTTTATTAACACAGCCCGTTCTCGTATAGCGCGTAGTTTTCGCAACGCGATGAATGCATCAGGGGTGTTACAAGCACCCGAAGCAAAATAGCATAGGATGGCAGAGCTGCCACACCCGTGGACAGGGGCCGGGGACGCGTCAGAGGGAGGAGAGGAGGCGAGGAGGGATGATTTGAGAGGAGAGGCAGGGAGAGAGCGAGGAGGAGGAGGACATGATTGCGGCCGAACCTGGTAGATCCACGTGTGAATAAAGCGAGTGTCCTCCGTATGTTGAGCCTCTTACGAATGTACCGAGGAACACATATTTTTAAGAACGCATAGGCGAATCGGATATACAGTAACGCGATCGAGCGAACGGAACTACGTCACAGAGCGAGTAGGTATTCAGCGGTCGTACCGCTGCCTCGGCGTAGTGTCGCACACAAGGTGTCGGGATGCTGCTGGATGCTTCTCGATGCTACCCACACACGCCTCGGTATTTGTTTGGCCTGTGTATCCATGTCACACGTTATCGCGGACTGTGCCATTTACCCTTACTGTATCATATATTGCAACGCAATTTTTCCATCACGCGGTGTTCTTCGGGAACACAACTACTACCGCCACGTTATAGGAGAACAGACTGTGTATATATGTGTAATGACGACTTGACACACTTTATGGAAGTTTGCGTTCACTTGACATCCGAAGGAGACCCCACTGAAACAGCCCCGAGTCTCCCGCGTATCTCCCTTATATATCAACACGAGGCCACGCCCCCCTTCTCGAGCCTTCTCGCTGACTCTGGATGCTTGCTCCACCGGCAGATTCCACCATCCTTTTCTATCATCTGACTACGCTCCCTTCTAGATCATTCCCGTAGCCACGAGTCCCTTCGCACTCACAGCTGACTCCCCTGTCATTACCTCCCGTGGCCACTAGTCCACTCACACCGCATTTAGATTGTATTGACATTACACATACGGTTTACCCGTATTCTTGTACAGGGAAATTGATTTTTAAAATGTGTCTATTTGTTTGTGCTTCTCCCTTGTGATGGGACTTTCTAGGATGAACGTTGAGATTTATAAGGGGCACGGGGTGACCAATAATGTCCTGAATTGGTCTGTAATAAGGTAGTGCACTGATAAGAGGTTGACAGGTATTATATGATCATTTTTGTTTGTTTTTCAAGAGCCAAAGATATTACGGGAACGTCATAGGGAGGGCGAGACAGCACGTTGACAAAACGTGCGACTCGTACTTAGGAAATGGACGAGAACACCCAGGCTCACCGCCCTGCCATGGCAGGGGCAAAGATTGGGTACAAAGCCTTTTAAGGGGGAGGGAAGGAAGGTCATTCTCATCATCATTATTATTAAACTAATACTCTTTTTTATTGTACCAGGTAATGCCGACTGAGCTATATACAGGGTGCTTCAAAACAAATTTTAACACTTACATGGGACTCGTTTTTAATGAACAAATAACGGATACTACACTGTAACGTGATAATAGCTTCAAAAATTCAAGGAATCTCACCGCTTGTTCGCCATCGTTGTCAACGCGTGCCTGGAATCTTCTCCCGGTGATTCCCAGAGCCCGGAGGCAGCGCATTTCTTGCGGCGTTGTTGCAAATTCTCCGAAGCGTTAACATCTTTTTGAAGCACCCTGCATGCCTCTTTTTTTTCAGAAGGGACCCGCCTATCACAAACGATAGCTCGACAAAGCGGCCTCATCAGCATCACGTGGCAAATGCACAGCAGCTTAACGAACCCCGAATGGCTCCGCCCGTCGCAGGTCGGCGACCAGATCGTGGAGGTGAACGGGCGGTGCCTCCGCTCGGCCAGCCACGCGGAGGCGGTGGCGACACTGGGCGCCAGCGCGCACCTCATGCTCACCGTGCGCGACGTGGGCCGGCTCCCGAGGGCCCCCGCGGTGCCACGGCCCCGCTCCGCGCCGCCGCCGCCGCGCCGGCAACCGGCGACGGACGATGATGCGGAGCCGGCTCCGGTGAGGGGCGCCGCTGGCTCGCGCGCCCGCCTACCCGTCTACCCATTGTTGGCCGCCTAACCGCCAAACTCGCCTGGGCCCCTCCGCTCGTGTGCCATCCACTCACGTGCTCGCCTGTCCGTCCGCTCGCCTACCCTCTCCGCTCGTGTGGTCACCTACCCCCTCCGCTCGTGTGCCATCCACTCACGTGCTCGCCTACCCGTCCGCTCGCCTACCCCCTCCGCTCGTGTGGTCACCTACCCCCTCCGCTCGTGTGCCATCCACTCACGTGCTCGCCTGTCCGTCCGCTCGCCTACCCCCTCCGCTCGTGTGGTCACCTACCCCCTCCGCTCGTGTGCCATCCACTCACGTGCTCGCCTACCCGTCCGCTCGCCTACCCCCTCCGCTCGTGTGGTCACCTACCCCTCCGCTCGTGTGCCATTCACTCACGTGCTCGCCTGTCCGTCCACTCGCCTACCCCCTCCGCTCGTGTGGTCACCTACCCCTCCGCTCGTGTGCCATCCACTCACGTGCTCGCCTACCCGTCCGCTCGCCTACCCCCTCCGCTCGTGTGGTCACCTACCCCCTCCGCTCGTGTGCCATTCACTCACGTGCTCGCCTACCCGTCCGCTCGCCTACCCCCTCCGCTCGTGTGGTCACCTACCCCTCCGCTCGTGTGCCATCCACTCACGTGCTCGCCTACCCGTCCGCTCGCCTACCCCCTCCGCTCGTGTGGTCACCTACCCCCTCCGCTCGTGTGCCATTCACTCACGTGCTCGCCTACCCGTCCGCTCGCCTACCCCCTCCGCTCGTGTACCCACCCTTCCCCCCCCCCCCCCCCCCCAGGTGGTGTTGTGCCGCGGGGTGTGCGGCACCGGCGTGACCCCCAGCGCGCTGTGCGAACAGCCGCGGCGCGCCCTGGGGGAGCGAGCGGCGCTCGTCCTGGGGGGCCCCGCGGGCCGTGGTGGGGGGGCCCGGCTGGAGGGGCTGGTGGACGAGTACCGGGCGGGGGGGCTCACCGTGCCGGCGCTGCTCGCCCGGCTGGACGCACTGCTGCACACGCCGGAGCAGGTAGGGCGGCGCCGTCTCTCTCTCTCTCTCTCGGTGTCTCTCGCTCGGCATTCACACTGCCACCGCCACCATCATCACCATCATCATCACCATCATTAACACATCATCAATACCACGACTGCCACCGAGCACCACCACATCACCACCATCAGCATTCACACATTCACCATCACCGCCATCAACATTCACACAATCACCACCACATTACCACCACCGCATTACCACCAGAACATCATCACCACCACCACATCACCACCATCAGCATTCACACATTCACCATCACCGCCATCAACATTCACACAATCACCACCACATTACCACCACCACATTACCACCACAACATCATCACCACCACCACATCACCACCATCAGCATTCACACATTCACCATCACCGCCATCAGTATTCACACAATCACCACCACATTACCACCACCACATTACCACCACAACATCATCACCACCACCACATCACCACCATCAGCATTCACACATTCACCATCACCGCCATCAGCATTCACACAATCACCACCACATTACCACCACCACATTACCACCAGAACATCATCACCACCACCACATCACCACCATCAGCATTCACACATTCACCATCACCGCCATCAGCATTCACACAATCACCACCACATTCCCACCACCACCACCACATTACCACCACCACATCACCACCATCAGCATTCACACATTCACCATCATCACCACAATCAGCATTAACACAATTATCACGATCAGCATTAACACAATCACCACAGTTAACACAAGCTCCATCACCACCACATTACCACTATCATCATTAACACAATCACCACCACGACTACATCATCACCATTAACACAATCACTATCACCACCACCACCACCACGTTACAACCATCAGTATTAACACATTTACCATCACCATCATCAGCATTAACACAATTACCACCATCAGTATTAACACAATTACCACCATCAGTATTAACACAATTACCACCATCAGTATTAACACAATTACCACCATCAGTATTAACACAATTACCATCACCACCATCAGTATTAACACAATTACCACCATCAGTATTAACACAATCATCACCACATCATCACCACTTTATCACTAATCCCTGCGTCAAAGACAAAGATCCCCCGTGTAGCCTTCACAGACTGTTGGGGCAAGTGCTGTTAGCGAGTAGCAGCATCTATGAAGGCCGGCACGGTACACGAGGGGGTGGGTGACCAGCACCACGCCCGGCCGCCTTTGTCTCCACCGAGTTGCGATGTTTACACACCGCACTGGACACTAATTTGAGGCTGAGCCGACCTAGGGGAGGCCCAAGACTGCTTCGGGTAATCGCCACTTGGTGTGGGCCGTGAGTGAGAATCGAACTCGGGCTACTGGGTTCGCAGCGCAGCGCGCTGACCGCTACTACACCATCCCTCCCCACCACTTACACTCATCACTCACAATGCCGTTCGTCCCTGCACCACGCCTCCCTGTATTTCCATTCACGTGTCGTACCTTCAAGCGCGATAACACACAAGACACCACCTCCACGCGTGCGTGCCGATGGGATTGCTGATTTTGTACGACTGCTACTGCTGCTGATATTGCTGCAACTGCTGCCACTGCTACTACTGCTACTATTGCCGCTGCCACTACTGCCACTATTACCACTACTACCACTACTGCCACTACTACCACTACGACTGCTGTCACTACTACTACTGCTACTACTGCCACTGCTACTACTACTGCTACTACCACTACTGCCACTACTACTACCACTACTACTACCACTACTGCCACTACTACCACTACTGCCACTACTACCACTACGACTGCTGCCACTATTACTACTGCTACTACTGCCACTGCTACTACTACTGTTACTACTACCACTACTACTACCACTACTGCCACTACTGCTACTACCACTGCTACTACTACTACCACTACGACTGCTGCCACTACTACTACTACTACTGCCACTGCTACTACTGCCACTGACACTACTACTACTGCTACCACTACTGCTACTGCTGCCACTGCTACTACTGCCACTACTACCATTACTACTACTGCTACTACCACTGCTACTACTACTGCTACTACCACTACTCCTACTACCACTGCTACTACTACTGCCACTACTACTACTACCATTACTGCTACTGCTACTACCACTGCTACTACTACTGCTACCACCACTACTACTGCTACTACCACTACTCCTACTACCACTGCTACTGCTACCACCACCACTACTACTACCATTACTGCTACTACCACTGCTACTACTACTGCTACCACCACTACTACTACTCCATTACTGCTACTGCTACTACCACTGCTACTACTACTGCTACCACCACTGCTACTACTACCATTACTACTACTGCTACTACCACTGCTACTACTACTGCTACTACCACTACTCCTACTACCACTTCTACTACTACTGCTACTACCACTACTACTACTCCATTACTGCTACTGCTACTACCATTACTACTACTACTAACACTACTACTACTACCATTACTGCTACTGCTACTACCACTGCTACTGCTGCTACTGCCGCAGCGCTCGCTGCTGCAGGACGTGCGTGCGCTGGTGAGCGCGCGCGACCTGGACGAGTTCGACTCCCTGCTGCCCCGCATCGGGACAGCGCCGTGCGAGGCAGCCCGGGCGTGGGGGCCACTTGGGGGAGGGCTCCGGTGGGGGGAGGGCGCCAACGGGAGCCACGGGGAGGGGGCCGAGGGGGCCGGACGCCACTGGGCCGGGGCTCGTGACCCCTGGGCCAGGCTGCAGGTGAGGGCGGTGGGGGGGAGGGGGAGCGGTGGCGCTGTGGTTGGCGTGGCGCTGCAAAACCGGTGTGTGGGTGGGTGGTTGTGTGGGTGAGTGGGTGGGTGGGTAGGTGGATGAGTGGGTGGGTGGATGGGTGGATGTGTGGGTGAGTGGGTGGGTGGGTGTGTGGGTGGGTGGTTGAGTGGGTGGGTAGGTGGATGTGTGGGTGGGTGGATGTGTGGGTGGGTGGGTGGTTGTGTGGGTGAGCGGGTGGATGTGTGGGTGGGTGGGTGTGTAGGTGAGTGGGTGGGTGGTTGTGTGGATGAGTGAGTGGGTGGACGTGTGGGTGAGTGAGTGGGTGGATGTGTGGGTGGGTGTGTGGGTGAATGGGTGGGTGGTTGTGTGGGTGAGTGTGTGGGTGGTTTTGTGGGTGAGTGTGTGGGTGGTTTTGTGGGTGAGTGGGTGAGTGGATGTGTGGGTGGCTGGATGTGGGGGGGAGTGGGTGGGTGGGTGTGTGGGTGAGTGGTTGTGTGGGTGAGTGGGTGGGTGATTGTGTGGGTGAGTGGGTGGGTGGTTGTGTGGGTGAGTGGGTGGGTGGATGTGTGGGTGGGTGGATGTGTGGGGGAGTGGGTGGGTGGGTGGTTGTGTGGGTGAGTGGGTGGGTGGGTGGATGTGTGGGTGAGTGGGTGGGTGGGTGGTTGTGTGGGTGAGTGGGTGAGTGGATGTGTGAGTGGGTGGGTGGATGTGTGTGGGTGAGTGGATGAGTGGGTGGGTGGTTGTGTGGGTGGGTGGATGTGTGGGTGGGTGGGTGGGTGGTTGTGTGGGTGAGTGGGTGGGTGGGTGGTTGTGTGGGTGAGTGGGTGGGTGGGTGGTTGTGTGGGTGAGTGGGTGAGTGGATGTGTGAGTGGGTGGGTGGATGTGTGTGGGTGAGTGGATGAGTGGGTGGGTGGTTGTGTGAGCGGGTGGATGTGTGGGTGGGTGGGTGTGTAGGTGAGTGGGTGGGTGGTTGTGTGGATGAGTGAGTGGGTGGACGTGTGGGTGAGTGAGTGGGTGGATGTGTGGGTGAGTGGGTGGTTGTGTGGGTGAGCGGGTGGATGTGTGGGTGAGTGGGTGGGTGTGTGGGTGAGTGGGTGGGTGGTTGTGTGGGTGAGTGGGTGGGTGATTGTGTGGGTGAGTGGGTGGGTGGTTGTGTGGGTGAGTGGGTGGGTGGATGTGTGGGTGGGTGGATGTGTGGGGGAGTGGGTGGGTGGGTGGTTGTGTGGGTGAGTGGGTGGGTGGATGTGTGGGTGAGTGGGTGGGTGGTTGTGTGGGTGAGTAGGTGGGTGGATGTGTGAGTGGGTGGGTGGATGTGTGTGGGTGAGTGGGTGAGTGGGTGGGTGGTTGTGTGGGTGAGTGGGTGGGTGGTTGTGTGGGTGAGTGGGTGGGTGGATGTGTGGGTGGGTGGATGTGTGGGGGAGTGGGTGGGTGGGTGGTTGTGTGGGTGAGTGGGTGGGTGGTTGTGTGGGTGAGTGGTTGTGTGGTTGTGTGGGTGAGTGGTTGTGTGGATGAGTGGGTGTGTGGGTGAGTGGTTGTGTGGATGAGTGGGTGAGTGGGTGAGTGGTTGTGTGGGTGAGTGGGTGAGTGGGTGAGTGGCTGTGTGGGTGAGTGGGTGAGTGGGTGGTTGTGTGGGTGAGTGGTTGTGTGGGTGAGTGGGTGAGTGGCTGTGTGGGTGAGTGGGTGAGTGGGTGGTTGTGTGGGTGAGTGGGTGTGTGCAGGGAAATGGAGTGTAGCTGTGAGTGCGTCACGCTGCGAAATCGGCGACCCCCCCGCCCAGAGTTTGATTCCCGCTCACAGCCATCACCGGTCACGATTATCTGAACCGGTCCTGGGCCTCCTCTGAGTACCTGGTGTGATGTGCAAACATCGCCACTGGGGAGACAAAGGTGGCCGGGCGTGGTGCTCGTCACCCACCCCCTCGTGTGCCATGCCCGCCTTCATAGGCGTTGCTCAGTAACAACACTTGCCCCAGCAGTCTGTTAAGGCTGCATGGGGGATCTTTGTCTTTGTAAGCTTTGGTGCCGGGCAGTGTGGTCATGATCCCAAGCGCGGTGCTGACACAGACAATACGTGTCTATGGGTCTCTGTGTAAGTCTATGGGTGTCTATGTAGGTATGTGGGTCTCTATGGGTCTCTCTAGGTCTGTGGATCTCGATGGGTCTCTGTAGGTCGACGGGTCGATGTGTAGGACTATGGGTCTCTGTGTAGGTCGATGGGTCTCTGTGTAGGTCTATGGGTCTCTGTGTAGGACTATGGGTCTCTGTGTAGGTCTGTGGGTCTCTGGGTAGGACTATGGGTCTTTGTGTAGGACTATGGGTCTCTGTGTAGGGCTATGGGTCTCTGTGTAGGACTATGGGTCTCTGTGTAGGACTATGGGTCTCTGTGTAGGACTATGGGTCTCTGTGTAGGACAATGGGTCTCTGTGTAGATCTATGGGTCTCTGTGTAGGTCTATGGGTCTCTGTGTAGGTCTATGGGTCTCTGTGTAGGACAATGGGTCTCTGTGTAGATCTATGGGTCTCTGTGTAGGTCTATGGGTCTCTGTGTAGGTCTATGGGTCTCTGTGTAGGACAATGGGTCTCTGTGTAGATCTATGGGTCTCTGTGTAGGTCTATGGGTCTCTGTGTAGGTCTATGGGTCTCTGTGTAGGTCTATGGGGTCTCTGTGTAGGTCTATGGGTCTCTGTGTAGGACTTTGGGTCTCTTTGTAGGACTATGGGTCTCTGTGTAGATCTATGGGTCTCTGTGTAGGTCTATGGGTCTCTGTGTAGGTCTATGGGTCTCTGTGTAGGACTATGGGTCTCTGTGTAGGACTATGGCAGGAACTCCCCATGAACGTTCGACCTCGAGACTGCTGTTTGTTGCTGGGCGGTGGGGAAGGTGGGGTTCACACTGCTCCCATGCACACGGCTCCCATGCGCACGGCTCCCATGCACACTACTCCCATGCACACGGCTCCCATGCACACGGCTCCCATGCACACTGCTCCCATGCACACGGCTCCCATGCATACGGCTGCCATGCTCTATTGTGGCAGCTCCGTCTCCACGGTGACCACCGGGGCGAGCTGCGGGGTTGCCGTGGCAACGGGACCCCCACGCTCACTCTCGAGTGGCGGGTACCATCTCTCTCCCGCTCGCGGGCCACGAATGTTGGTGACCGTGTCCAGGTCTCTCGCAGATCTGCGAGCTCCTCGCACTGTGGTCCAGCCTGGTTAAACCCGATCTTAGGTAAAAATGGCACAGGAAAAAATTGGCACAGGTAAAAATAGCACGTGAAAAAATGGCACAGGTAAAAATAGCACAGGAAAAATTAGCACAGGTAAAAATAGCACAGGAAAAAATGGCACAGGTAAAAATAGCACGGGCAAAAATAGCACAGGTAAAAATATCACAGGAAAAAATGGCACAGGTAAAAATAGCACAGGAATAAATGGCACAGGAAAAATTAGCACAAGTAAAAATAGCACAGGTAAAATTGGCACAGGTAAAACAAGCACAGGGAAAAAATGGTACAGGTAAAAATGGCACAGGTAAAAATAGCACGGGAAAAAAATGGCACAGGTAAAAATAGCACAGGCAAAAATGGCACAGTAAAAATAGCACAGGAAAAAATGGCACAGGTAAAAATGGCACGGGTAAAAATAGCACGGGTAAAAATGGCACAGGTTAAAATGGCACAGGTAAAAATAGCACGGGTAAAAATGGCACAGGTAAAAATGGTAAGGGTAAATTAAAACATGTAAAATTGACACAGGTAAAAATAGCACAGGAAAAAATGGCAGAGGTTAAAATTGCACAGGAAAAAAGGGCACAGGAAAAAATAGCACAAGTAAAAATAGCACAGGTTAAAATGGCACAGGTAAAAATAGCACAGGTAAAATTGGCACAGGTAAAACAAGCACAGGGAAAAAATGGCACAGGTAAAAATAGCACAGGAAAAATGGCACAGGTTGAAATGGCACAGGTAAAAATAGCACAGGCAAAAATGGCACAGTAAAAATAGCACAGGAAAAAATGGCACAGGTAAAAATGGCACAGGTAAAAATAGCACGGGTAAAAATGGCACAGGTAAAAATGGTAAGGGTAAAATTAAAACATGTAAAATTGGCACAGGTAAAAATAGCACAGGAATAAATGGCACATGAAAAATTAGCACAAGTAAAAATAGCACAGGTTAAAATGGCACAGGTAAAAATAGCACAGGTAAAATTGGCACAGGTAAAACAAGCACAGGGAAAAAATGGTACAGGTAAAATGGCACAGGTAAAAATAGCACGGGAAAAAATGGCACAGGTAAAAATAGCACAGGAAAAATTAGCACAGGTTGAAATGGCACAGGTAAAAATAGCACATAGTAAAATTGGCACAGGTAAAACAAGCACAGGGAAAAAATAGCACGGGTAAAAATGGCACAGGTAAAATGGCACAAGTAAAAATGGTAAGGGTAAAATTAAAACAGGTCAGATTGGCACAAGTAAAAATCGGCCGGTTAGGTCACTCGTTTTGGTGGCCATGAACGAGAATCAAAACTCACCGGGTTCATAGCACAGCGTGCTAACCGCTGCACCACCGCTCGCCACGGCACACGCGCAAAGATCCCCCATGTAGCCTTCAACAGACCGCTGGGGCAAGTGCTGTTAACGAGCACCCATTGAGGGGACCACAGCGATACCGGGGTATCTTTCTCTTCGACATTCAGTGGTCTCATCAGCAGCAGAGTCAGTCTCACTTAACTCTGCTTCTGATGGGGTGCCATGGTAACGAGATGTCAACTACCTCGCTTGGTATTGATGCAGAGAAGGTCGTGGGTTTGATCCCGACCCTGACGCCTGGAAACTTGGCGTTCCCTTGTCTCTCTCCCCGTGGTCGCGTGGATTTTTTCTCCGGGTCCTTCCACATTTCGAATTGATGCGCGTTTTTGAGCATTTGGCTGCTTGAAATTTCCACGTGACAAGCCACTTCGTTGAGCTGTCATGTGTGGCCACGTCGCTTCTGAAAAAGAGCAACATAGCTCAGTGGGCCTTAACTGACAACATAAAAAAATGGTTTAGTTTAGTTTCAGTTTACTTGAACCAATGCTGGTGAACTGGCCAATGTAGGCAAGGGCTTCGTTTGGCCATTCAGAGTCCCATCATCAGCAGTCAGGCACGCTTGAAACAATGCTGGTACATTGCCCAATGTTATAGGGAAGGGCCCTCTATCAGAAATGGGTGCCTAGTTCGATTCAACACACAACGATGCAATCAGCCACACAGAAAAACGAGAGAGAATGGTGGGAAGAGGGGGGGGGGGTTGGCGGGGGGGGTGGGGGTAGTGGGCTGCCCCCCCCCCTCTTCCACCCCCCAACGCTGCGTTGATGCTGCGCGGGTTGCCTGCAGGCTGGGGCGGCCGCCTCTCTCACGGAGGAGGAGGTGGAGGAGGTGGAGGAGGTGGGAGACCTCGTCCCGGAGACGAACCTGGACTGGGACCCGAGGACACGGGACGACGTGGGCACGGTGAGGCTCCGCCTGGGTCCCGCGTGGGAGCCACGTGTGAGCACGCGGGACTGTGGGAGACCACGTGACAGCATACGTGACCCCTGCCTGGCACCATGCAACAGCACGTGACGCCACATGACACCGCTTCGGGATCGCGTGACACCACGTGACGTCACGTGACACCGGGTGACACCACGTGACACCAACTGACCCCATGTAATGCCACGTGACACTGCGTCACACCAGGCGACACCACGTGATACTAAGTAACACGACGTGACACACGTGAAGCCACGTGACACCAGCTGACACCACGTGATACCACGAATCGAAATTGTTGTTAATGTCAACGTTGTTGGAGCTGTCATGTTGTTCAAGGTAGATATACTTTGACCAGCTTGTTTGCCCGTCCTAGGACGGAAGCTGTGATATTTACGAAAAAATTGAGCAGAGTAATAATTGTATCTTGTGTAAATTTAATGGCAGTGAATCTTGCACGAAAGTATGTCATCAAACACTTTGCTGCAGTTCACTGTAGCACTGTATCCATGGCAGTGATTCTTGCACAAAACTACTTCATAAAACACCTCACTTCATGTCACTGTAGCACTGTATATAACTGACCTTCAATTTGTTCAAATTCACTGCTCTGATATTGTATCGAAACTGGAATTCGATACAATATCTGGAAAATCACCGAGAAATGTCTATTTTACCATAATGTAGAAGCATAAATTTGACTTACCTTTTGTCCGATGTGCTGAAGAAATAAATGAAGACACCAAATCCACTTTTTTGCTGCGTATAATTATTTATTAGATTAACTTTCAATAAAGAAACGTCAAACTTAAAGCGAATTTGCGAAACAAAATTATTTCCGCTCGACCTTCTTCTGCGTTCGTGTAAAAATCCAAGTGCTCATGAATATTCATGATGGGGGGAGGGGGGGTGCGGCATGTGGAGTGACGTCACGCGCATTACACACAAACAGATATTCTTGACTCATTATAGTAGTAATGTTGCTGTGTCTATGCCGCTGTGAGTGTCGATGTCACTGCGAGTGTCGATGCCGCTGTGTCAATACTGTCCTTCTTGTCGTGCAGCCTGTGCTTTCAGAGCGGCCTCCATACCTCCACCCACCACCCCCATCCCCATCATCACCACGTCACCAGCAGCACCAGCAGCAGCACCAGCAGGAGCAGCACCACCACCAGTATCATCAGCATGAAGATTTTTGTTCTCTGGACCCTGCTCCTCCCAGCATGCCTTGCTGCACCTGTGCCGCCACCCCTCCTCCTCCGCCGCTCCCGTCAGCCCCAGGGGCTTCTGGGAGCCGGCCGCCATCCAGGGCTCAGTCTCAAGAGCGGCGGCGCTCATCCCACAACAACGACGGCGACGACGTCAATAACAACGTCAACAAGAATGGCCACCGCGGTGAGCATCGAGAGGAGACGAGGCCCCCGAGGAGGGAGGGTCCGACACCGGGGCCCAATCTCTTGGGCGACGAGGAGGGGGAGGTGCCCCAGACGGAGGGACCCCGGGCCCCAGGCGTCGCCGGACTGCGCAAGATCCTGGAGGCCTCCCTGTCCCGGCATGGCGGGGCCGGCTGGGCCGGAGGGGGAGGGGCCAGAGGAGGGGCCGAGCTGCTGGCGCACGCCGGCCGGCGCCCGCCCGTGCCCTTCCCGGCGGACGTGGCGTCCGTCGCTTTGTCATCGTCACCGTCTTCAGTCGCCTCGTCGCTGGCAAAGACGGGCTCGGGCCCAGGGGGCTCCGTGTCCTCCTCGGGGGCCTCCTCGGTCGCCCCCCTTGCCGTGGCGCTGGCCGCGGCGGCGGCGTCGTCGTCGTCGCCGTCGTCGGCGCGGCCATCCGACCCGGGCTACTCGAGCGCGTCACGAGGCCGCGGGTCGCCCCTCCGCCGCCGCTCCTCTTCCCCGTCGCCCTCCTCCTCGTCGTCCTCCTCCTCGTCGTCGCCGCCGGGATCCCCGTCGTCCCGGCGCTCGGGGAAGGCGCCCAACGGGGGGGCGGCGGCTCGCCCGCGGGCGCTCGTCCTGCCCAGGGCCACCTCGCCCACCGTGCCGCCGCGCGGCACCGGCTCCCTGCCGCCCGCGGGCCCGGGGGAGCCGGGGAGCCGGAGCCCGGCGGGGCCCGCTGGGCTCGCGGAGCCCACGACGCCCGGCGTGGCGGTGGCGGAGAGGGAGGAGCGGAGGAACGTGCGCTTCGTGACGGTGGAGGTTCACCGCCCCAACGCGGAGCCGGACGTCAACCAAGCGACGGCGCTGCCACGCAGCCGAGGTGCGGGCCGGGCAGGCCGGCGAGGTGGGGGGCCTCCAGATGCAATCGAGGCTCCACCGGAACCCCCTATGGGACCCCCTATGGGACTCCCTATGGGATCCCGTTGGGCCCCTGTTGGACAACACCCAACCCCATGAGATCAGTCCCCAGGGATCTCCCCTCCTCGTGGAAGCTGTAATCCCCGGGCGCACTGTGTTGTGTGGGCACCGTTCTGTGTGTATCCGTGTACGTGGCACAGTAGGGGGCACAGGTGGTGCATCGGCCAGTCATCTCAGTCGACCCGTGGCACCTGGGTCTGCCCCGTGACCACCTGCCAGCGGGTGTTCGACACTTCACGTGGCCTTAGCGTGCACATAGCCTGGCACAAGCTCCGTGGTGACATCACCACCACTTAGTGGCGAATGGCGGTTGTTGTTGTATGTATATGGTGCTGGCCACCCCCTCCCTCATGTGCCATGCTGGCCTTCATAGGTGCTGCTCGCTACCAGCACTTGCCCAAACAGCCTGTTATAGGCTTTATGCGGTGTCTTTGTCCTTGTATATGTATGTATGTTAATACTCTGCTTTTTTCGGTAAAGTCACGTAGGTAAAATAAAATAAATGAAAACAACTAAATTAAATCATGTCATTCCTGACTTACAGTAACCCGGTGTTTACAAATTGAGTTGTACCTGTGGTGACTGCTATATTGGGGAGACGAAACGACATATTTCTGACCGAATTCGCGAGCACATCAGATTTGAAACACGGCTGAACGAATTCTTCGGCCGTGGCTGATCATTGTTTCAACATAGCGGGGTTCTCATGACATTGTTTTCTCCGATACCAAAATACTATGCAAACCTCCCGGTTATTACCAAAGATTTGTCCACGAAGCCATCCAGATATACAAACATAGACACAACTTCAACCGAGAGGGTGGTTTTAAATTGAACAACCATTGGAAAGATGTCATCAACCAAGTCAAACTTTAGCTGCCTTTTAATTGTACAGCCGTTTCCATTTCTACCAGTGGGTTGTACTCGCTCTCGTGCAGTGCACCACCGCTTCCCCCGAACCCCCTGCAGCATAACAAAAGGCGTCTTAACTTAGCCCCTCCCCTCCCCACCCACGTCACTTCCTGGCTCCTCCCCCCCCCCCCTTAACCTGTATATAATCTCGGGTGTCTCAGAGCTCTTCACTTGATACAGCTATTTTGCTGTGACTGTTCCACCTGAAGACAGAAGCTTGTGTTGCCTCTGAAACGTCGTAATTTAATTTAGTTTTCATTTATTTTATTTTACCTACGTGACTTTACCGAAAAAACCAAAGAGTATGGGAAGGACAACAAACTAAACACAAAAAGCAGTTCTAAAGAAATACGTTTGTCAATTTAGATGATTCCAAAGTATATAGCTCAAGTGGCTTTCTAAAATCGGAAGGAAGAGCATTCCAGACGGGCGCAGAAGCGCATCTGAAAACGGCACCACCGTCTGTGTTCGACAGTAAGCCAAAAGATTCTGCTGCGAGGATGACCAGAGTGTCACGTGATGATGGTTCAAGCTCCTTGACGAGATCGGCGGCGAGGTGTTGTCGCTCATTTGTGGCAAGCGCTTTGTGTGTGCAATGAGGGCAACCTTTAAGTTTCAGGGGTTCACACAATGATGGGAAAATTAACAGGCTTCTACCCTTTCTGGGAAAGAATACAGGAGGTGTTAAGATGTTTGGACACCGAATAGACACCCTTTTGTAAGGCATCGAGTCTGGAATAACCGAACATCAAACATGCAAACACGCTGTAATAATAATAATGGACGCATTGTCCATAGCTGTCAACCCATGCGGTTTACCCCGTATTCTTGTATGGGGAAATAGAGTTTTCAGGTCCATACGGCATCCAGTCGTTTCAATATTGGAACAACAAATAATGATCTATTTGTTTGTGTTTCTCCCTTGTGATGGGACTGAATTGGTCTTTAATAAGGGAGGCACTGGTAAGGTGTTGACAGGTATGATTATCCATGACACCGATCATGGCCTTGTCTCACGAGTATTGTGGAAGTTGTGAATGTTGTTTATGTTGTGCATGTTGTTGCTGATGCTGTGTATGTAATTGTAGTTGATGTTGTGGGTGTTGCTATAGATGTTGCTGTGAACGAGTATGCAATGTCTCTGCCCCCCACCCCCAGACCCGCTACCGCTCTCCGCTGAGCCTATCCGGAGCCTGGTGGTGGCAGCGGGGTCTGAGGCCACGCGGAACGGGTCCCAAGGGGCCCACGAGAGTGGTGGGGACAGCGGTGGGCCCACAAGGCCGGTGAGGAGCGCACAGGCAGAGGGCCACGTTCGGCAAACGTTCGGCATCATCGTTAGTTTAACACGTGGGCTTTCGCGACCAATATTATTCATGATAAAGGGTTTTGGGTTAGATCGCGGAAGTATAAAAGCCCTCCACTAACCGACACAGCCAATCAGTAAGGGATTTGTCACGTAAACAAAACGCCAAATAGTTACTAGTATAGTGTATAGCAGTGTAGTGTATAGTGTTGTGTATAGCATAGTAGTGTAGTGTACAGTAGTATAGTGTAGTGTATAATGTAGTGTATAGTAGTGTAGTGTAAAGAAGTGTAGTGTATAGTAGTGTAGTATAGTGTATAGTAGTGTAGTGTATAATGTAGTGTATAGTGTAGTGTATAGTAGTGTAGTGTATAGGGTATGTGTATAGTAGGGTAATGTATAGTAGTGTAGTGTATAGTAGTGTAGTGTATAGGGTTATGTGTATAGTAGTGTATAGAAGTGCAGTGTATAGGGTTGTGTATAATAGTGTATAGTAGTGTAGTGTATATTGTAGTGTATAGTAGTGTAGTGTATAGTGTAGTGTATAGTAGTGTAGTGTATAGCAGTGTAATGTATAGTAGTGTCGTGTATAGGGTAGTGTATAGTAGTGTAGTGTATAGTAGTGTCGTGTATAGTGTAGTGTACTGCTTCAGCCCACCGGTGTGTTGGAGAGTCAATCCACAACATTCACAATGTGAGTAGTGCCGTGACGTTTCGCTGGTAATGACATCATCCAGCGTCATCAGGCGATTTGCCAGAACAGTGAAGCCATCCACGTGCTTCCGGTCTTAAATAGAGCAGCAGGACGACGTCATCACCTGATCACAATCAGATGCAGAGATCAGAGGCGGGGGGGGGGGGGGGTATTGTAATTATATAATAGATTAGTAATCAGTGAATTAGTATGTGTTTCCTCTATAAGGAATTGTAATATGTATTACTTAATAGCCTAACCCAAAATCACTGAAGCCAATCAGGTGCAGAGATCAGAGGTGGAGGGGGGGGGTATCGACACATACTTACGCGATCTAACCCAAAAACCTTTGTTATGAACATCGTCTCCGTCGTCACCGACCATCATCATCATCATCACCTCGTCGTACAAACGTTGAAAAATGCGTTTTTTAATTTGTACGAGTGTGCACACACTCCGTGTCCCCGTGTGCCTCCCCCATGTGCCCGTGTCCCCCGCGTGTAACCTGTACCCCCCCGTGTCCCTGTGTATCCCCGTGTCGCTCCGTGTCCCCGTGTCCTCGTGTCTCCGTGTCCGCGTCTCCCCCGTGTCCTCACGCGTGCCCCCGTGTTCTCAAGCGTGTCCCCGCGTCTTTGTGTTCTCACGTGTCCCCATGTGTCCCTGCGTGTCCCCACGCGTCTCCATGTGCCCGTGCGTGTCCCCGTGTTCTCGCGCATGCCCTCAGCCTGGCATGAGGGACGGGGCGACGCGCCGCGTCCGCGTGCCCAAGTGCGCCCCCACGCTGGGCATTGCCATCGAGGGCGGCGCCCACACCCGCCAGCCGCTGCCTCGCATCGTCACCGTGCAGGCAAGAGGGAGATCGCCCTCACTCACTCACTCACACGGTGACCTTTGTCACGCCATGACCCCGTGCGTGACCCCATTTAACCCCGTGGGCTGATCTGACCCCGTGACACCCCCCCCCCACGCCCCGCCGCCCCGTCGCGCGCAACCAGGAGGGCGGATCGGCGCACGCGAGCGGACTGCTGCGCGTGGGCCAGCTGCTGCTGGAGGTGGACGGCACGAGCCTGCGTGACCTGCAGCACCACGACGCCGCGCGCACCATCGCCCTGGCGTTCCGCGAGCCCAGCACGTCGCACATCAGCTTCCTCGTCGCCGACTACTCCATCGCTCCCTAGAGGGGCGCGCGTACTCGCGCACGCAGACAGCTCCATCGCTCCCTAGGGGCGCGTACTCACACACGCAGACAGCTCCATCGCTCCCTAGAGGGGCGCGTACTCACACACGCAGACAGCTCCATCGCTCCCTAGAGGGGCGCGCGTACTCACACACGCAGACTGCTCCATCGCTCCCTAGAGGGGCGCGCGTACTCACACACGCAGACAGCTCCATCGCTCCCTAGGGGCGCGTACTCCCACACACAGACCGCTCCATCGCTCCCTGGGGGGGCACGTACTCCCACACGCAGACCGCTCCATCGCTCCCTGAGGGGCGCGCGTACTCCCACACGCAAACCGCTCCATCGCTCCCTAGGGGCACGCGTACTCACACACTCAGACCGCTCCATCGCTCCCTGGGGGGGCACGTACTCCCACACGCAAACCGCTCCATCGCTCCCTAGGGGCACGCGTACTCACACACGCAGACCGCTCCATCGCTCCCTAGGGGCGCGTACTCGCGCACGCAGACCGCTCCATCGCTCCCTAGGGGCGCGTACTCCCACACGCAGACCGCTCCATCTCTCCCTAGGGGCGCGCGTACTCCCACACACAGACCGCTCCATCGCTCCCTAGGGGCGCGTACTCCCACACTCAGACTGCTCCATCGCTCCCTGAGGGGCGCGCGTACTCCCACACGCAGACCGCTCCATCACTCCCTAGGGGTGCGCGTACTCCCGCACGCAGACCGCTCCATCGCTCCCTTAGGGCGCGCGTACTCACACACGCAGACCACTCCATCGCTCCCTGAGGGGCGCGCGTACTCACACACGCAGACCGCTCCATCGCTCCCTAGGGGCGCGTACTCCCGCACGCAGACCGCTCCATCGCTCCCTGAGGGGCGCGCGTACTCGCGCACGCAGACCGCTCCATCGCTCCCTGAGGGGCGCGTACTCCCGCACGCAGACCGCTCCATCGCTCCCTAGGGGCGCGCGTACTCCCACACTCAGACCGCTCCATCACTCCCTGAGGGGCGCGTACTCCCACACGCAGACCGCTCCATCGCTCCCTAGGGGCGCGCGTACTCCCGCACGCAGACCACTCCATCGCTCCCTAGGGGTGCACGTACTCCCACACGCAGACCGCTCCATCGCTCCCTAGGGGCGCGCGTACTCCCGCACGCAGACCACTCCATCGCTCCCTAGGGGTGCACGTACTCCCACACACAGACCGCTCCATCGCTCCCTAGGGGCGCGTACTCCCACACACAGACCGCTCCATCGCTCCCTAGGGGCACGCGTACTCCCACACACAGACCGCTCCATCGCTCCCTAGGGGCACGCGTACTCCCACACACAGACCGCTCCATCGCTCCCTGAGGGGGAGGGGACAGCGACCTGGTTTTAAACATTTATGTCGGCACAAGCAACACAATAATAATACAGGACAAGTGATATATTGCGTCTTAGAACACGGGAGCAGACCAACAACGAGTGCTCTGTGGAAGACAACAAAACACGGCATGGGTCAGGCGTGACGGAACAGGGTGTGAGTGTTGACCGTAGCAATAACCTGGTTTATCACTGCTACGGTGTGAGTGTTGACCGTAGCAATACCCTGGTTATCACTGCTACGGTGTGAGTGTTGACCGTAGCAATACCCTGGTTATCACTGCTACGGTGTGAGTGTTGACCGTAGCAATAACCTGGTTTATCACTGCTACGGTGTGAGTGTTGACCGTAGCAATACCCTGGTTATCACTGCTGCGGTGTGAGTGTTGACTGTAGCAATACCCTGGTTATCACTGCTACGGTGTGAGTGTTGACCGTAGCAATACCCTGGTTATCACTGCTACGGTGTGAGTGTTGACCGTAGCAATACCCTGGTTATCACTGCTACGGTGTGAGTGTTGACCGTAGCAATACCCTGGTTATCACTGCTACGGTGTGAGTGTTGACCGTAGCAATACCCTGGTTATCACTGCTACGGTGTGAGTGTTGACCGTAGCAATACCCTGGTTATCACTGCTGCGGTGTGAGTGTTGACCGTAGCAATACCCTGGTTATCACTGCTACGGTGTGAGTGTTGACCATAGCAATACCCTGGTTATCACTGCTGCGGTGTGTGTTGACCGTAGCAATACCCTGGATATCACTGCTACGGTGTGAGTGTTGACCGTAGCAATACCCCAGTTATCACTGCTGCGGTGTGAGTGTTGACCGTAGCAATACCCTGGTTATCACTGCTACGGTGTGAGTGTTGACCGTAGCAATACCCTGGTTATCACTGCTGCGGTGTGAGTGTTGACCATAGCAATACCCTGGTTATCACTGCGGCTGTGTGAGTTGACCATAGCAATACCCTGGTTATCACTGCTACGGTGTGAGTGTTGACCGTAGCAATACCCTGGTTATCACTGCTGCGGTTTGAGTGTTTACCGTAGCAATACCCTGGTTATCACTGCGGCTGTGTGAGTGTTGACCGTAGCAATACCCTGGTTATCACTGCTGCGGTGTGTTGACCGTAGCAATACCCTGGTTATCACTGCTACGGTGTGAGTGTTGACCGTAGCAATACCCTGGTTATCACTGCTACGGTGAGCGTGTTGACCGTAGCAATACCCTGGTTATCAGTGCTACGGTGTGAGTGTTGACCGTAGCAATACCCTGGTTATCACTGCTGCGGTGTGAGTGTTAACCGTAACAATACCCTGGTTATCACTGCTACGGTGTGAGTGTTGACCGTAACAATACCCTGGTTATCACTGCTACGGTGTGAGTGTTGACCGTAGCAATACCCTGGTTATCACTGCTACGGTGCGAGTGTTGACCATAGCAATACCCTGGTCACCACTGCTGCGGTGTGAGTGTTGACCGTAGCAATACCCTGGTTATCACTGCTACGGTGTGAGTGTTGACCGTAGCAATACCATGGTTATCACTGCTACGGTGAGTGTTGACCGTAGCAATACCCTGGTCATCACTGCTGCGGTGTGAGTGTTGACCGTAGCAATACCATGGTTATCACTGCTGCGGTGTGAGTGTTGACCGTAGCAATACCCTGGCTATCACTGCTGCGGTGTGAGTGTTGACCATAGCAATACCCTGGTTATCACTGCTACGGTGAGCGTGTTAACCGTAGCAATACCCTGGTTATCACTGCGGCTGTGTGAGTGTTGACCGTAGCAATACCCCAGTTATCACTGCTACGGTGTGAGTGTTGACCGTAGCAATACCCCGGTTATCACTGCTGCGGTGTGAGTGTTGACCGTAGCAATACCCTGGTTATCACTGCTGCGGTGTGAGTGTTGACCGTAGCAATACCCTGGTTATCACTGCTACGGTGAGTGTTGACCGTAGCAATACCCTGGTCATCACTGCTACGGTGAGTGTTGACCGTAGCAATACCCTGGTTATCACTGCTGCGGTGTGCGTGTTGACCGTAGCAATACCCTGGATATCACTGCTGCGGTGTGAGTGTTGACCGTAGCAATACCCTGGTCACCACTGCTGCGGTGTGAGTGTTGACCGTAGCAATACCCTGGATATCACTGCTGCGGTGTGAGTGTTGACCGTAGCAATACCCTGGTTATCACTGCTACGGTGTGAGTGTTGACCGTAGCAATACCCTGGTTATCACTGCTACGGTGTGAGTGTTGACCGTAGCAATACCCTGGTTATCACTGCTACGGTGAGCGTGTTGACCGTAGCAATACCCTGGTTATCACTGCTGCGGTGTGAGTGTTGACCGTAGCAATACCCTGGTTATCACTGCTGCGGTGTGAGTGTTGACGGTAGCAATACCCTGGTTATCACTGCTGCGGTGTGAGTGTTGACCGTAGCAATACCCTGGTCATCACTGCTGCGGTGTGAGTGTTAACCGTAGCAATACCCTGGTTATGACTGCTACGGTGATCGTGTTGACCGTAGCAATACCCCGGTTATCACTGCTACGGTGTGAGTGTTGACCGTAGCAATACCATGGTTATCACTGCGGCTGTGTGAGTGTTGACCGTAGCAATTCCTTGGTTATCAGTGCTACGGTGAGCGTGTTAACCGTAGCAATACCCTGGTTATCACTGCTGCGGTGTGAGTGTTGACCGTAGCAATACCCTGGTTATCACTGCTACGGTGTGAGTGTTGACCGTAGCAATACCCTGGTTATCACTGCGGCTGTGTGAGTGTTGACCGTAGCAATACCCCGGTTATCACTGCTACGGTGTGAGTGTTGACCGTAGCAATACCCTGGTTATCACTGCTACGGTGAGCGTGTTGACCGTAGCAATACCCAGGTTATCACTGCTACGGTGTGAGTGTTGACCGTAGCAATACCCCGGTTATCACTGCTACGGTGTGAGTGTTGACCGTAGCAATACCCTGGTTATCACTGCTGCGGTGTGAGTGTTGACCGTAGCAATACCCTGGTTATCACTGCTGCGGTGTGAGTGTTGACCGTAGCAATACCCTGGTCACCACTGCTGCGGTTTGAGTGTTTACCGTAGCAATACCCTGGTTATCACTGCGGCTGTGTGAGTGTTGACCGTAGCAATACCCTGGTTATCACTGCGGCTGTGTGAGTGTTGACCGTAGCAATACCCTGGTTATCACTGCTGCGGTGTGAGTGTTGACCGTAGCAATACCCTGGATATCACTGCTACGGTGTGAGTGTTGACCGTAGCAATACCCTGGTTATCACTGCTACGGTGTGAGTGTTGACCGTAGCAATTACTTGGTTATCACTGCTGCGGTGTGAGTGTTGACCGTAGCAATACCCTGGTTATCACTGCTACGGTGAGCGTGTTAACCGTAGCAATACCCTGGTTATCACTGCTGCGGTGTGAGTGTTGACCGTAGCAATTCATTGGTTATCACTGCTACGGTGTGAGTGTTGACCGTAGCAATACCCTGGTTATCACTGCTGCGGTGTGCGTGTTGACCGAAGCAATATACGGCTACAAGCCGTTTCCTGTTTCCCGGTGGACATTTAAAGATCCCGTGATGTTGTTCGCAAGAGCAGGTCCCACTGTGCGTGTAGGGCGTTGCGGTCCGAATTTGCCAAATTAGAAAAATGACTCCGCAGGTTACTCGAATTGGGATCGCACGCAGCAATCAGTGCCCGCCCCTCCCCCTACCGGCCAAATAAAATCCCAGGGCACTCTGGGAAATGAGACGTCCCCCTGACCTCTTGAGTTCTCACCTGGTTCAACAGAACGACACCTGAACTGGACAAACAGGACATAGTCCCACCCCACATTCACATGTACACACGCGCGCGCGAGTGAAATACACTATACGCTAAGTCCTCGCTTAACGCGCGGTGTTCACACTAAAACGCGTTTCCGCTACAAAGCGGTTTTCCATTCGGGAACACTTTTCACACAACGCAGAATTCGCACCGTTATGACGTTAATTTCTAAGCGGTCAACGACAAACTACTTTCTTGAGCCGCGCAGCTGAGCGGAGTGATACATTAACACGGCGGGGTGCCCTCAGTGATGTCCAGCCATCTCACCGTGTGGTGGGCATAGCAGTAGTACATCGTGTCTCCAAACGTTATCGTTACATAATTTATGGGGGGAGACAGTTTTTTGCTTTACGCATTTTTCACTTAACGCGCACTTTTCAGGAATGCATTGACCATGTTCAATGAGGACTAACTGTATACACACACACACACACTCGTGGAATTTAAACAGTACGCATTTACATCATTCGACCTCCTTTGCCAGTACCAAAATATAATAATAGAGTTTTTCCCCTTTTTTCTGGCAACAAAACTGAAACCTTTTTACAAGGATTCATGTCTGCATTAACCACAATACCTGCAGTCAAAATGCAAACAAAAAACATACTATGATAATATATGCATTGTCCTTGAAACTGATTAAATAAAGCCCGTCTGTATGATTTTTGTTTGCATTTTTGACTGCAGGTATTGTGGTTAATGCAGACATAAAAAGGTTTCAGTTTTGTTGCCAAAAAAAGGGGGGAAACCATATTATAATAGTACGCATTTAGTTTAGTACGTAGTAGGCTTTCACGAGCAATATGATCCACAAGAGGTTTCATGGGTTAGATCGTGCAAATAAAAATGTGTCGTTAAACCCGCCACCACACGACACGGCCAATTAGTAAGGTTTGTCACGTAAACAGAACATGCCAATTAGTTACTAGTTCGGCACACCGGAGTGTTGGAGAGTAAAACCACGTTTAAAATTCGAGTACGACGTTTCGCCAGTAATTACAACTAGCATTTTAAGTCGGCAGCCAGATTTCTGGCTGTCGTCTGATGCTGTGGCTGTAGCCTGATGATGCTAGTTGGAATTAATGGTGAAAAACGTCGTACTAGAAACGAATTGGCATGTTTTGTTTACGTGATAAACCTTACTAATTTGGCTGTGTCGGGTAGTTGCAAGTTTACCGACATTAATGTTTACGCGATCTAACCCAAGAAAAACTCTCATGGATAGTACGCATTGACACGATTGTATATATATATTTTTAAATATATATACAGTGCACCCACGCGTCAAAGAAATCATCGTAGAACGATGGCCTCCCCCACCCCGACAGCCCCACCCCCAGGCCCCTCCTGCCACCCCAGCCAATCAGAACGCTGGAAACAAACTGTCAAACCTCTCAGTATCGTTTAATATTGTGCCCGGTGTCAATAAAGCTGAACAGACACATCCGATTATACAGCGAACCCACAACTTTTTTCCTTTTAAAATACAGGGAGCAAGTAGGTGTCTTGTAATGTCGACAATAAATCCGTTTGGAAAAACCGTTGACATTTCCCGCCATTTTGTTGCCCGGCCCGCCTTTACCGGTGTCAGGTCACGGGGTCAAGCCGATGGAAACGTCACGGCAGCAGGACTCCTTGTGCGTGCTCGGGACCAGCAGCGTTGGGAGACTCTTGAAGGAACCGCGTTTTTTTTTTACGTGAAATTTTGTGTTAGGTAATTCAAGTTGTATTTTTTTATTTAAAGCTTTCGTGACTGCAATAATTCATATTCTTGGTTCTTTCGGTAAAGTCACGTTTCGACTGTAACACAGTCATTATTATTTTATTGTTTCCCTTCAACGTGACTTTACAGAAAGAACCAAGAATATATATTTCAAGTTGTTTTACCGTGTTTAGGTTGTAAAACTAAACGATTAAACTATTTGTATTTTACCAGGTAAGGCCCACTGAGCTCTACAGCCGTTTTTCAGAAAGTGACCTGGCCACAAATGATAGCTCAAAGAAGTGGCTTATTATCACATGGAAGTTTATAGCAGCAGCCAAATACCCTGAACGCGTGATGTTGATTTAAAACGTGGAGGGAAAAAATCAGACCATCGGGAGAAAAATAAAAAAAATTCACACCAGGCGTCAGGGTCGGGATCAAACCCATGCCCCCTCCTGGGTACCAGGGCGAGGTAGTTAACATCCCAAACTGCCTCCTCCAGCCCATCTCAATTGAGATGCTCCATCGCGAGGGACAATCCGGGTGCAAGGTTTCAGGAGCCCTGCATCGTCGATTCCTTCTTGCCCGCGTAGTCGGCGCCTTTGCCTAGTGGGCGTCTCTACAGTGGCGTGTCTTCTGCCGCGCGATCACTGGCACCCGGTTTCCGTCCGCCCCGTGCCAATCCACGCAGCGGCAAAATCTCTCGCTCACCGGCGGCGATGACAGTACGCACGTACGTAGTCTGTTCTCCCATAACGCGGGAGTAGTTGCGTTCCTGAAGAAAACCGCGTTATGGAAAAATCGTGTTATACAAATTAATACAGGGTTGAAAAGCACAGTCCGCGATAACACGTGGGATGCTTACGCAGGCTGAACAGAGACTGCGGCACGTGGGCAGCATCTTGAAGCATCCAGCAGCATTCCAATGCCTTGTGTTGTGCTACACGGAGGCAGCGGTACGACCGCTTATTTCTAGTTCCATTCACTCAATCGCGTTCTATCCAATTCGCATTCCTCACTCAAAATATTCATCGCGTTCTATCGAATTCACGTGATGAAAACACACGGCGTTATAGGGGAACTTCTTTCGCACCGTACGTAGCCAACCGTGCTAATCGGAGGTACAGAGAAAGGGCAACAAACTAAACACAAAAAACTGTTCTGAAGAAGTGAGTTTTCAACCTATACCAAGCGACTACAAGCGGTTAACGAGACGGTAAAAAAAAGGTCAAACTTCAACCAACAGCTCGAGTGAGACGAGCAAAAGGCTGAGCAAGCGATAAAAAATAATTTAGACCAAGGTCTGTAAAACGAGCATCGTCCTAATTTAAAATAAAACAAGAGCCGATGGCAACTGGATGACAAGTCATTGGTGGTCTTGTCAGTATACCGAGTCCTTGGCATAGGAATGTGGAGCTTCATCCACCGGCTCGTGACCACCCACTTGCATTGGAACTTATTTTGCATCGTTCGTAGCCAACCGCGCTAATCGGAGGTGTGGGGGAAAGACAACAAACTAAACACAAGGAGCACTTTTTGAGAAGTGAGTTTGCAAATGTAGACGATTTGAAAGTGCACGGCTCCAGTGGCATCCGAACATCGGAAGAGCGTTCACAAACGGCCGCAGAAGCGCATCGGAAAGCGCCGCGCGATGCAGCGACCATCTTTGTTCAACGGCTTAGCCAGAAGCCGCTGGCCCAGGGCCCCTTTTCAGGCGGGGGGGGGGGGGGGGGATGTCCTCACAGCGCCAATCTTTACTCTAAGGTGGGACGGAGAGACAGACGGGCGAGGCAAATTACCAAGGGCAGGGACGAGGACACGCGAGATAGGCGAGCGTGGGAAAAAAAACGGAAAGCGTCAGGACACGTGACACGAGCAACGGGACGGAGGAGAGTTGACGCCTGGCGAGAGAGACGCGAAATGAGGCACGTAACACGGGAGAGGTCGGCGAGGCCGGGCGGACGGCTGACCCAGAGCCCACAAACATGAAAGTCCACAGCCGGGTTGCTCTGCCTCTTCCCCCATTATTATTACGTCGACCATTTTTCTTGAACAGGTAAGTGCCCATTGAGCCACACGGCTCTTTTTCGCAGAAGCGACATTGCTATCGCAAAATGATAGCCCGACGAAGTGGCTCATCCATCACGTGGATACTTATAGCGGCCAAATGCTCTGAACGCGCGTGGATTCTAAATGTGGAGGAAAAAAAAACGGTGATCACGGGGGCAGAGACACGCAAACTCCAAATATACAGGCATCATGGTCGGGCTCCAACCCACGAGCTCCCGCATACCAGGCGAGGTCGTTAACATCTCGCCACCGCGGCGAGCTATCCTGCCCTTGGCTGGCGCCCGGGTCCTTCGGGTCCATGGGGGCACCAGCGGCGTCCTGCCGGCCTACGCGTGCCCCGCTCACGGCGTCCCTTCGAGGAAGCCGTCGCTGAGGTGCCGCTCCGGTTCCCCGTTGGAGGGCGGCGGCGGCGGCGGCGGTGGCGGCGGTGCCACACAGCGAGCCCTGTGGCCGTCGCGCCAGTCGGCCCGCTGGCACGCCACGGAGCAGTAGCGCAGCAACTTGCAGCGGCCACACACGCGGTAGCGCAGCAGCCCGGCAGCACGGGAGCCGCACGACGCCCGGCCGCACCAGACCACCTCCTGCACGCGTCGACGGGAGGCCGCACGCACCCCGGTGGGACACACAGCAGCCAGAGAGACGGGGCTCCCATCAGCAAGCGCTCATGGGCCAGGGTATAAACTATAAACTCGGCTAAATAATGTCTTACCTCGCCAGGTAAGGCCCACTCTTTTTGAGCTATTAAGCGCTTTTTCAAAAGTGACCTGGCCGCAAATGACAGTTCAAATACTCCACACGCATGTTAGTCCTAGATGTGGACGGAAACACCGAAGGACCCAGAGAGAGAACATCCAAACTCCAAATACACAGACGTCAGGGTCGGGATCGAACCCACAAACCGCCGGTATACCGGGCGAGGCAGTTAACATCTCGCGACCAGGGCCGTGCCATTTCCACACGCGTGCGTTTTAGCAGTGATCTGCACCCAGCCGTACCGGCTCCGGCAGCGCCGGCTCACGGTAGCGCAGCCCCAGGTCGGCGCCGGGCGTCCCGACCACCGGCGCGGGCAGCGTGAGGAATCCAGCGAGGCGTCCCACGCTGCGGTTCTCCACGTAGAGCCTCAGGTACCCGCGCTCCTCCTCCTCCTCCTCCTCCTCCTCCCCCGCCAACACCGCCAGCCGGGCGGCGCGCCTTGCCGACATCGCCGCCACCGCCTCCCTCGCCCGCTCCAGGGACGCCTGAGTCCGCCCCAGCCGTCGCCGGCCGTCGTCGCTGCCGGCAGCGCTGGGGGAGCCGTGGGCCTTGGCGGGGCCCCACGCCGCCAGGTCGTGCACCAGCAGGATGAGTTTGAGCGCCGCGATGAGCAGGGCCGGGCGCTCCGAGGCGAGGGCCGATGAGGCGTGGGGCAGAGCGCCGGCCGACAGGAGCCACGTCACCCGCTCATCCCCTCCTGACGGCGTCAGCGGCTCCGGCTCCTCCTCCGTCTTCTTCTTCTCCTCCTCCTCCTCGTCCTCTTCCACCTCCTCCGGCTTCTCGTCCGGCTTCTTCCGTCGCCCGGACGGGATGCCGGAAGCGGCGGGGGCGCCAGGAGGGAGATGTCTCCGCGGTGCCGCCGCGTCTCCCGCGCACACGTTCAGCAGGCACTCGGCCGCCATGGAGGCGGCGACCGCGCCCCAGTCGCTGCGGAGGCAAACGAACGTTCGCAACAACAACGTTCGCAACAACAACGTTCGCAACAACAACGTTCGCAACAACAACGTTCGCAACAACAACGTTCGCAACAACAACGTTCGCAACAACAACGTTCGCAACAACAACGTTCGCAACAACAACGTTCGCAACAACAACGTTCGCAACAACAACGTTCGCAACAACAACGTTCGCAACAACAACGTTCGCAACAACAACGTTCGCAACAACAACGTTCGCAACAACAACGTTCGCAACAACAACGTTCGCAACAACAACGTTCGCAACAACAACGTTCGCAACAACAACGTTCGCAACAACAACGTTCGCAACAACAACGTTCGCAACAACAACGTTCGCAACAACAACGTTCGCAACAACAACGTTCGCAACAACAACGTTCGCAACAACAACGTTCGCAACAACAACGTTCGCAACAACAACGTTCGCAACAACAACGTTCGCAACAACAACGTTCGCAACAACAACGTTCGCAACAACAACGTTCGCAACAACAACGTTCGCAACAACAACGTTCGCAACAACAACGTTCGCAACAACAACGTTCGCAACAACAACGTTCGCAACAACAACGTTCGCAACAACAACGTTCGCAACAACAACGTTCGCAACAACGTTCGCACAACAACGTTCGCAACAACAACGTTCGCAACAACAACGTTCGCAACAACAACGTTCGCAACAACGTTCGCAACAACGTTCGCAACAACAACGTTCGCAACAACGTTCGCAACAACAGCGTTCGCAACAACAACGTTCGCAACAACGTTCGCAACAACGTTCGCAACAACAACGTTCGCAACAACGTTCGCAACAACGTTCGCAACAACGTTCGCAACAACGTTCGCAACAACGTTCGCAACAACGTTCGCAACAACGTTCGCAACAACGTTCGCAACAACGTTCGCAACAACAACGTTCGCAACAACAACGTTCGCAACAACAACGTTCGCAACAACAACGTTCGCAACAACAACGTTCGCAACAACAACGTTCGCAACAACAACGTTCGCAACAACAACGTTCGCAACAACAACGTTCGCAACAACAACGTTCGCAACAACAACGTTCGCAACAACAACGTTCGCAACAACAACGTTCGCAACAACAACGTTCGCAACAACGTTCGCAACAACGTTCGCAACAACGTTCGCAACAACGTTCGCAACAACGTTCGCAACAACAACGTTCGCAGCAACAACGTTCGCAACAACAACGTTCGCAACAACAACGTTCGCAACAACAACGTTCGCAACAACAACGTTCGCAACAACAACGTTCGCAACAACAACGTTCGCAACAACAACGTTCGCAACAACAACAACGTTCGCAACAACAACAACGTTCGCAACAACAACAACGTTCGCAACAACAACAACGTTCGCAACAACAACAACGTTCGCAACAACAACAACGTTCGCAACAACAACGTTCGCAACAACAACGTTCGCAACAACGTTCGCAACAACGTTCGCAACAACAACGTTCGCAACAACGTTCGCAACAACGTTCGCAACAACAACGTTCGCAACAACAACGTTCGCAACAACAACGTTCGCAACAACGTTCGCAACAACAACGTTCGCAACAACAACGTTCGCAACAACAACGTTCGCAACAACAACGTTCGCAACAACAACGTTCGCAACAACAACGTTCGCAACAACAACGTTCGCAACAACGTTCGCAACAACGTTCGCAACAGCGTTCGCAACAACGTTCGCAACAACGTTCGCAACAACGTTCGCAACAACGTTCGCAACAACAACGTTCGCAACAACGTTCGCAACAACGTTCGCAACAACGTTCGCAACAACAACGTTCGCAACAACGTTCGCAACAACGTTCGCAACAACAACGTTCGCAACAATGTTCGCAACAGCGTTCGCAACAGCGTTCGCAACAGCGTTCGCAACAACGTTCGCAACAACGTTCGCAACAACGTTCGCAACAGCGTTCGCAACAACGTTCGCAACAGCGTTCGCAACAACGTTCGCAACAACGTTCGCAACAACGTTCGCAACAACGTTCGCAACAACAACGTTCGCAACAACGTTCGCAACAACAACGTTCGCAACAACGTTCGCAACAACGTTCGCAACAACGTTCGCAACAACGTTCGCAACAACAACGTTCGCAACAACAACGTTCGCAACAACAACGTTCGCAACAACAACGTTCGCAACAACAACGTTCGCAACAACGTTCGCAACAACGTTCGCAACAACGTTCGCAACAACAACGTTCGCAACAACGTTCGCAACAACAACGTTCGCAACAACAACTTTCGCAACAACAACGTTCGCAACAACAACGTTCGCAACAACGTTCGCAACAACGTTCGCAACAACAACGTTCGCAACAACGTTCGCAACAACAACGTTCGCAACAACAACGTTCGCAACAACGTTCGTAACAACAACGTTCGCAACAACGTTCGCAACAACGTTCGCAACAACAACGTTCGCAACAACGTTCGCAACAACGTTCGCAACAACGTTCGCAACAACGTTCGCAACAACGTTCGCAACAACGTTCGCAACAACAACGTTCGCAACAACGTTCGCAACAACGTTCGCAACAACGTTCGCAACAGCGTTCGCAACAACGTTCGCAACAACGTTCGCAACAACGTTCGCAACAACGTTCGCAACAGCGTTCGCAACAACGTTCGCAACAACGTTCGCAACAACGTTCGCAACAACAACGTTCGCAACGTCCGTGAGGCGTCGTCGAACCGGACCCGCGAAGATGGAAAACATTTTTGGGAATACAATGTACGAGCACACTTGTTTGGGGAATTACAATACAAACTTTTTAAATAATTCCATCGGATCACCCGGGTGCGTGGGATGGCGGTGAACGGGTCAGATGCCTACCAGTCGCCCTCCTCGTCCGTCTCTCCCACGCTCTCTCCACCTCCATTCAGCAACCCCTCTCCGCCCCCACCATCTCCTCCGCCCGTCCCTTCTCCCCCGGCGGCCGCCTTCTCGCTCGCCTCCGTCGCTCCCCGGGCGCCGCCCTCGCCCACCACCTCCAGCAGGGCCCGCAGGACCCGCTCCCTACTGCCCCACAGGTGCCGCGCCACGGGCCGGGAGAGCGAGCAGGCAGCTAGGAGGCAAGCGGAGCAGGCCAGTTGACGCCGGGGAATGGACCGCCATGACCGCAGGGGCTCCAGCGCCTCTCGCAGGGATCGAGCGCCCAGCAGCTGCAGGAAGAGCCACCCCCTCCCGGCCGCCCCCTGGCGGCCCCGGGGGTCGCCCGCGCCCGCCGCCCCGGTCCCGAGGCCGCTGACCCCAAGGCCATCTTCCCGGATGACCCCGACCCCGGCCTCGATGGCCGCGCGTAGCCCCACGGGGTCCCCTAGCCGCAGGCTCCGCGTCGCCTCCTCCAGCCAGCGCGTCACGTCACCCTCCGCCTGCCGGGTCATGCGGACGCGTCCACACGTGGGGCTCACTGTCATGGCTCCGTCACTGCCCTGAGCCAGCGGCTTTTGGCTTGCCGTCGAACAAAGTCGGTCGCCGTATCGCGCGCTTAGAGATTATTTCTGCGGCCGTTTAGAACACTCTTCCGTCTGATATGAGGAAGCCACTGGAGCTACGCACTTTTAAATCATCTAGATTGAAAACTAGTTTCTTTAAAACTGTCTTTTTGTATTTAGTTTATCCTTCCCCCACACCTCCGATTAGCACGGTTGACTACGTACGGTGCGAAAGAAGTTGTTCAACATACATACATACAAGAAGCTCCCAGCAGGTGGAACACGTAGAGCACGCAGAGTGACCGTCAGAACATGTTTAAAACTTATTTAAGATTTTAGATTCCTGTATGTTGAATGTATGCACCATCCTGCCAAAGTAAATTCCGTGTCGGTGTGAACTTTCATGGCGAATAAAACCCTTTCTGATTCTGAAAACGTAGCGGAGAGCTACAGGAAACGAGTCTCTACTGCAGATCTCCACCCACTCACCGAAGTCGCTTACAATTATAGCACATTGAAAACTAATTTCTTTAGAACTGCTATTTGTGTTTCGTTTGTTGTCCTTCCCCCGCACCTCCGATTAGCACGGTTGTCTACGTACGGTGCAAAAGAAGTTCAACGTACATACACACATATACGTTGGCCATGCACGATACCCCTAACCCGGGGGAAAAAAAACCCCTCAATATATCAAGAGCTGCAATGCACTGTGTGGTGAATACGAGACGGTGGTCCTGAATAAGTAACGTCACGAAGCAGCCCTTGAAGAGCCGCGCAGGTTGCCGACCCCTGCCCTTCACTGGACATCTGTGAAAGGGGGCTTTATGGCTCGTGGGATTCCTCCAATATGAATTATTATTCCGATTATAATCCCTTACCTCCACGCCCATACTGCATATTCTCTCAAGCCACACCCTCAAAATCCAATGTCTCGCCCCCGAACCAAATACCCCGTTCTTCTTGGACGTACCCCCATGCCGCTGGCCATACAGGTATGCCCCAAGCCCCATACCCGTGCCCATGTAACCCATACCCCGAAATTAATATATACCCTACCCCTCTAGCCCCTACCTCATGCCCAATGTTCCCTGGCTGTAACCTCAGGCTCTATACCAGGGGTGGCCAGACAGCATCCAGTGGGCAGTCCGAACTGGGCTCGACGACAGAGAGACGCAGCCGATTTGTGACGATTCAAATCCAGCAAATTTTGCAACGCTCTGCTCTAAATGGGAGAAAATGCGTTGAAGCGGAAGAGCGGTCCGGGGCCATTGGCCCATGGCAGTGGAGCCAGACACGAGTACTCCTGTGGCCATGCAACCCAAACTATGGACCGTGGAGTAAAACCACTGCGGTCTGTGCTCCTGCGAAGGAGGAGGAACGGCAAAACGACTTTCTCTATCTCTCTTCTGAAGCCCTCTCGTCGTGGCGAGCAGCGGAACCTTCTGGATTGAAATAAAATTTATTTATTTTATTTACCTCCACTAATTTTATTTTACCAGGTAAGACCTGGCTACAGATGATAGCTCAACTTACAGGCTTACCATCAAGTGGAAACCTACAGCAGACGAATACTCTAAACGCACGTTTATAAATGTGGTGGGATAAAACCGGAGGACCCGGACAAAAATCCATGTGACCACGGGCAGAGAGACAAGCAAACTCCGAATGTACAGCAGGCATCAAGGTCGGGATTGGACCCACAACCTCCTGTATACCATGTGAGGTAGTTAACATCTCCTAGCCACCGTGGCGCTCTTTTAGGTTGAAAACTCATTTCTTTAGAAGTACTTTTTTGTTTTAAGTTTGTCGTCTTTCCCCTGCACCTCCGATTAGCACGGTTGGCTACGTATGGTGCAAAAGAAGTTAAACGTACATACACCATACATACACATTGGCATCTGGCTCGTAAGCATCTTGCAATCGCGCCCAAGAACAGAATACCCCCCCCCCCGTCTCCTTACCCCCTTACCCCTCGACCATAAGCCCCCAACCCGGGGCCTCGCCGCGGACCTCGCACCGGTCCTCGCCCCCCCCCCCCCCCCCCCCGCTCCCCCCACTCCGTGCACCGACCTCTGCGCCGGCCCTCGCCGCCGCTTCCCGGACCCTGGGCGAGAAGAGGAATGTGTGGGGCGCCACGTCCGTGCGGTCGCGCGCGGAGAAGTCCAGTCCCAGGAGCTGGCCCAGCTCGCTGAAGGCGCGGCCCGCCTCGGACATCGCCATGCCCTCTCCTCTTCTCTCACTCTCCCCCCTCCAGGTCCTGCAGCCCTAGAGGGGTCCCTAGACGGGCCACAGGGAGGGCGCCGCGCAGAACGCAGACGCAGTAGGTTTGCGCGGTTGTGCCGTACAGCGCCCCCGGAGTGTTTCCCGGTCATTACCGCGAGTTGCTCGGCACAATATCTGCCCGGTTTCTTACCTTGCTGATCTCGTCAGGGAACATAAACCACCACGGAAACTCCGGTCACCCTCGCAGCAGCAGCAGCAGCAGCAGCGGCGGCTTTTGGCTAGCCATCAAAGAAAGACGGTCACCGCATTGCGCGCTTTTGGATGTGCTTCTGCGGCCGTCTGGAACGCTCGACCTTACGATATTAGGAAGCCACTGGAGCTATGCACTTTTAAATAATCTAGATTGACAAAGTAATTTCTTTAAAACTGCTTTTTGTGTTCAGTTTGTTTCCATTCCCCCTTGCCTCCGATTGGCACGGTTGACTATGTACGGTGTAAAAGAAGTTCAACCAACCTTCTTATGGGTTAGGGGTTAGGATTTAAAGGGGTTATGGAAAATATTATGGGTTCAGGTTTTGGGTTGAAGTTATGGTATGGGGTTTGGGTTTAGGGTTAGAGTGAGGGCCAGGGGTTAAAATTAGCATGCGGGGGTCACAGTTTATGATTTTATTTAGGGCTTACGTTTATCGATTCGGCAATAGGGTTCGAGTTTCGGATTAGGGTTTGGGTTCAGGGGTTACAGATAGGTTTTGGGGCTCGGGCTCAAATGTATGAGTTCGGTTTTTGGGTCAGGTTCTATTTTTGCTTGCCACAAATGAACCACAATACCTCGCTGATCTCGTGAAGGAGCATACACCATCACGCGAACCCTGCTCACCCTTGCAGCGGCGGCTTTTGGCTCGGCCATCGGACAAAGTCGGTGGTCACCGCATCGCGCGGCGCCATCAGATGCGCTTCTGCGGCCGTCTGGAACGCTCTTCCTTCCAATATAATAAAGAAGCCATTGGAGCTGTGCGCTTTTAAATAATTTGGATTGAAAACGAATTTCTTTAGAACTACTTTTTGTGTTCAGTTTGTTTTCCGATTAGCACGGTTGGCTACGTACGGTGCGGAAGAAGTTCAACATACGTACATTTGGGGTTAGGGATGGCAGATAATACCTAATAAGTAATACTTTTTTAAAAACACGATTTAATGAAATGTACCCTACTAGTAATGACAGAACTCCACGACTTCAGGAAGTGGCCCCGAAGCTTGCCACAACGTAATGGACCGTGGTCATTTACAGCCAACGTCAGTTGAGCGTGGACAATTAGACCCAAGCCGAAACATAACATATTAAAAAGAATGATTAAAAATATGTATTTTTTTTATTTTTTTATGATAGAATATAGTATTGTCATCAGTAAGACATAACTATACCAAGTTTGCAGTCGATAGCACATTGGGAAGTGGGTTAAAATTGAGTTACAAGATTTGAGGATTCAACGACAACAGACAGAGTGAGTTAATAGAAAGCGTGTAAAAAAAGCACCGCTCTTCTCGTCCTGTGTGTGGGGTGACCGTGGTCATCGCAACTCATTTGTAATGCCAGAGAAAACACGATGAGAGGATTGTCCGAGTAATAATGACACCGATTTAGAGGTGTTTTGTCCTAATTGGCTGTACTCAAAGTGTGTCTATCTCCATATATACATAAAAGGCAAAGTTGTGAAAATGTGTGTCTGTTCAAAATGTTTAGCGTACTTCCCGACATGCAACAAACTTGAAATTTGTCATGTGGGTACTTTCCAGACTGTGCACCATGCAAAAATTATAAAAATACACTTTAGTTTTTTTGGGGGGGAGCTCAATAATGCATTTATTTTTTTGCACGGCAAGTGAGCTGTGACGTCAAATCTGTCACGTGACCCGCGCACGTGGAAGCGTAACGCATTGTAGTGTAGCGGTTAGCGCTACGCCGCACTACGAACACGGCGACCCGAGTTCGATTCCCGCTCACGGCCACCACCGGTGACGATTATTTGAACCGGTCCTGGGCCTCCTCTAGATCGACTCGGTATCAAACGAGTAACTGGTGCGGTGTGTGAACGTCGCCACTGGGGAGACAAAGGCGGGCGGGTGTGGTGAATCCAAGTCCCAGGCAGTACAGCTAGTGACTTTATAAACATTCAGTGTTAAGGGGGCTTAGGCTTGACACTAGGCCTCGGCAAGGTAAGGTAAAAACAACGAGCCTACATTTACCCTACTTTTTACCTTACCACAATACAATAACTCTACCCTACCTTTTACCCTTCAGCAGGTAAGGTAAAAGGGTAAAAACAACGAACCTACCTTTACCTTACCACAATACAATCACTCTACCCTACCTTTTACCCTTACCCCATACAAATTACCCGATTACAGGGTAATTATTGGGGTACTTCTACACATGAACAAGGTTTATAGCAGGTAAATGCTAGGTAGAGCGCTTTATTCATCTAGAATACTCTCGATTATTCCAATTTTACACGCTTTCTTTTAACTCACTCTGTTGTTGTATCTTCAAATGTTGTAACTCAATTTTAACCCACTTCGCAATGTGGTATCGACTGCAAACGTGGTATACTTATGTCAAACTGATGACAATACTATATTATATCATTAAAAATAAACAAATATATTTACCCGGTAAAAAAGGGTAAATTACCTTACCTTGCCGAGGCTTACTTGACACATTGTTAGAAGGGATAATGATGGTGGTGGTGGTGATGAAGGTGGTGATGGTGAATATGGTGATGAAATTGGTGGAGGTGATGATGGTGGTGGTGATGAAGGTGGTGATGAAGGTAATGATGATGAAGGTGGTGATGAAGGTAGTGATGATGAAGGTGGTGATTAAGATAGTGGTGATGGTGATGAAGGTAGTGATGATGGTGATAAAGGTGATGATGAAAGTGGTGATTATGAAAGTGATGATGCACATGATGGTGGTGATGAAGGTGGTGATGGTGAATATGGTGATGGTGATGAAATTGATGGAGGTGATGATGGTGGTGGTGATGAAGGTAGTGATGATGAAGGTGGTGATTAAGATAGTGATGATTGTGATGATGGTGGTGATGAAGGTGGTGATGAAGGTAGTGATTAAGATAGTGATGATGGTGGTGATGGTGATGAAGGTAGTGATGATGGTGGTGATGGTGATGAAGGTAGTGATGATGATGGTGATAAAGGTGATGATGAAAGTGGTGATGATGAAAATGATGATGCACATGATGGTGACGTTGATGGAGGTGGTGATGGTGAATATGGTGATGAAATTGGTGGAGGTGATGATGGTGGTGGTGATGAAAGGTGGTGATGAAGGTAGTGATGATGAAGGTGGTGATTAAGATAGTGATGATGGTGATGATGGTGGTGGTGATGAAGGTAGTAATGATGATGGTGATAAAGGTGATGATGAAAGTGGTGATGCACATGATGGTGACGTTGATGGAGGTGGTGATGATTGCGATTGATGAAGGCGAATGATGATTGTAGTGATGGTGGTTTATGATTGCAGTAACTGCAGTGATAATACTGATAACTATGAAACTAATTGCGTGATAATAGCAGCAGCGATAATGGGTGGTGGTGATGATGATGGCGATTACTCTTATGAAGATTACGGTGATTACGATGATCATAATCATTGTGATGACTGTAGTGACAACTGTACGATTGTAATGATGGAGGTGATGACTTAACGTACCGGCAATGATAGACGTACCTTGTTCAACGAGCAGTGGATTGATCATGATCGATCATGACGACGATGATGATGGTGGTGGCAAATCGAGGATTTGAACGACGACTTCCATAGCGATGAGCCAATGGCAATCGCAGAGTGCGCTGAATAGACGGAATATTGTTAAAATGTACGTAGATAACTCTTCAAATGTAAGCTAGTTAATGTGAGTTTGATGTGTGTAGTGTATATCGTGGTGAGGTACACGGAACGGCGTTGTTTTGTGGCGGAAGGCGTGGGAGGGGGTTAGGCCGGAACCAGCGTTATTAACGGAGCAATCTTTACATTTAGAGGCGATTTACCTCAGATAATTAACTACTAAAAGTTGTCAGTCCAGTCACCGAGTTCATTATGTTAGCTTGTTACATTTTTTTTGTTTCGCTGCTAGAATTTTTTTTTAAAATAATAATAATTAGCGGAGTGTGAGGAGGAGCTAACACCGGAACCGTTTGATCTGCCTCCTCGTGTTAAAGACATCGCTTACACCCTCTATTAAACAAACAATATAACAAATATAGATCATATATACGTTACACGGAAGGTTACCGTTAAGAAACTTTATTTAATGAGTTAATTGCTGTTGCCCTTAGCGACAAGGCAGCTTAATCCGTATCGGCTTCAATGCGCACGTATTAACTTGTAATCTATTACATCATTACTGGTATATTATTTTAACACGTTACATCTTATCAACACTGTCCCGCTACTGTTTACATATTTGTTTTGTGTTGTTTAATATTTAATAACAGCTATCTTTAACTTGCTTTTGACACGCGTTGTGTCGAGGGCCCGTGGTGCTAGCGGCTTCGCCGGCTGAGACGCCACCTCGTCGGTTGGCGCTTGTAGGCCGCACCGCTCCAACAGCCGATCTCTCGGTCACGCAAACTCCCTTCGTACACCTTCTATTTACATTTCAACGACTTTATTCATCACGCACGACAAAGAGGCCACGATGTCGGCCTCCAAGCAATTCAGACGGCGACGGGACGACGACGAGGAGGACGAGACGGCTGAGGAGATGCGGTGAGAGACGACAACTCAGGACGGACGAGGCCTTCTCGTTCGTTTAACGCCTTAGCCTTAAGCAAGTTGCGACCAATATTAAACATTATAAAGTGTGTGTGTGTGTTGGGGGGGGGGGGGTGTTGTTTTGATGGGTTAGATCACGTAAGTATGAATGTGTCGTGAAACCCACCACCACCCGACACAGCCAATTAGTAAGGTTTGTCGCGTAAACAGAACGTGCTAAATGAAATCCCTGTCAACAACCCCCCCCCCCCCCCCCGTATCAGTAGTGCCTGCCTTAGTACAGACCAATTCAGAACCTTATTAGTCACACCGTGCCACTTATAAATCTCAACGTTCATCCTACAAAGTCCCATCACAAGGCAGAAACACAAATAGACACCACTACGAACACTCACCACTACTACACTCACAACTACACACCTGTCAACCCCTTATCAGTGCCCTACCTTAGTACAGACCAATTCAGAACCTTATTGGGTCACACCGTGCCCCTTATAAATCTCAACGTTCATCCTACAAAGTCCCATCACAAGGCAGAAACACAAATAGACACTCACCACTACGACACTCACCACTACTACACTCACAACTACACACCTGCCAACCCCTTATCAGTGTCCTACCTTAGTACAGACCAATTCAGACCTTATTAGTCAGCCCGTGCCCCTTATAAATCTCAACGTTCATCCCACAAAGTCCCATTACAAGGCAGAAACACAAATAGACACTCACCACTACGAACACTCACCACTACTACACTCACAACTACACACCTGTCAACCCCTTATCAGTGCCCTACCTTAGTACAGACCAATTCAGACCTTATTGGTGACCCCGTGCCCCTTATAAATCTTAACGTTCATCCTACAAAGTCCCATCACAAGGCAGAAACACAAATAGACACTCACCACTACGACACTCACCACTACTACACTCACCACTACTACACTCACAACTACACACCTGTCAACCCCTTATCAGTGTCCTACCTTAGTACAGACCAATTCAGACCTTATTAGTCAGCCCGTGCCCCTTATAAATCTCAACGTTCATCCCACAAAGTCCCATCACAAGGGAGAAACGCAAACGGATAGACAATCACCATCACTACACTCGCCACTAGTATACTCACCACTACAATCACCACAACATCCACCACAACATCATACCTGTCAATCCCTTATCAGTGCTCGTTGTTTTTTTTCGGTAAAGTCACGTAGAAATAAGAAATAATAATAAAATTACATAATAGCATACGACGTTTCGATAGCAACGCAAGCAATCATCATCAGGTATAGAAGAGCTAAATTTAAGAGAGAGAGGAAACACAGAACCGCAGATATATATACAGACACCTAAGCAGAGGGAGTTAACACAGAGACACAAAGAGACAACGTACGGAGCACAGAGACAAAGAGAGATGGAGAAGCACATCAAATCGAACACGATTTAGTAAAATTTGGAAACAATATAATGCAGCACAGAGGGTCGGTCAAAACACAATTAACGCATGGTCTGGCTGATTACGTTATTTCAAAGATTGCTAAATTATAGGTTAAGAGTGATAGAGTACAGATCACAGACACATATATAGACATCTAAGCAAAGAGAGCACAGAGACACAGAAAGAGGTAGTGCACTTCCTTATTACAGACAAATTCAGAACCTTATTGGTCACACCGTTCCCTTATAAATCTCAAAAGTTCATCCTACAAAGTCCCATCACAAGGGAGAAACACAAGCAAATATACATTTGCCCGTATTGAAACAGCTATACGCCGCACGGACCTGAAAACTCAATTTCCCTGTACAAGAATACGGTTAAACCGTATGGGTTAACAGGTATGCAATTATATTCATGGTTCTTTCGGTAAAGTCACGTAGAAGGGAAACAATAAAATAATAAAAATATAAAACATTATTTTAAGTCACGTAGAAGAGAAACAATAGAATAATAAAAATATAAAACATTTTTCTTATTTTATTGTTTCCCTTCTACGTGGTGACTTTACCGAAAGAACCAAGAATATGAATCCCTGCAGTCAGGAAAGCTTTAAATCAAGGTGTGCAATTAGTTACGAGTTCAGCACACTGGTGTGTTGGAGAGTAACCCCACAACAGCATTTACGATTCAAGTTGACGGAAGACCGAAACGGGAAGATTTCTTTCATAAGTCTCGCCGGATGGAGCTGGTTGCTGTTGTAATCAGCAGCGAAACGTCGCAGTCCTCGAATTATAAACGTTGTGGGTTTACTCTCCCAACACACCGGCACCGGATGTGCTGAAGCAGTAACTAATTGGCACGTTTTGTTTACGTGAGACACAGCCTTGCTAAATTGGCCGCGTCGGGTTTAACGGCGCATTTAAATTTACGCGATCCAACCCGAGGCAAAATCAACTTCGTTATGGAGGCCTCTATGCAGCTGTGGATAGATCATGACTGTTTGATGACAATAGGGATTGTGGAGTGGACTCGTCCCGGCCGCGTGAGTGGAATTTTCCACAACTTTTGTTGTTCCACACAAAACTCGACACATTTGTCAATGACACTGCGTGTGGCCTTCAAATATATAATATGCGACGTTTCAGCCCTTCATAACACGTAAAAAAAATATTTATGTATACTGGAGGAATCTGATGGGCTATAAAGCTCTTTTGCACTGATATCCAGTCGGGGAGCAGGTGAGAACGTCACAACAACCTTAGAAAAGCAAGAAAGGAGTGCAAAGTAGAGGGACGGTAAGCAAATCACAAAAATACAAAGAAGCAACCTGGCCAGAATTTATGAATTGATAGCTCAATTAAGTGACTCGTCATGTGGAAATTTATAGCAGCAAACTCCAGATACTCTAAACGAATGTTGATTCTAAATGTTGAGAGATAAACCCGAGAGACTCGGAGAAAAAATACACGGAACCACGGGGTCGGGATCGAACCTACGACCTCCTGCATAGCAGGCGAGGAAGCGAACATTTCGCCACCGCGATGCCCCAGGGTCTGTTCCGTGACCTGCCAGCAGCAAGTCTTTGACACTTCACGTGGGCCTCAAAAGCGCACCTAGTATGGCACAAGCGTCGTGGTGACGTCACCGCCACTTAGCGGCAAACAGCGGTTCTTGTTGTTGTCGCTCTGTAACTGAATCTGGCGTTTCGCTTGTTTGCAGGGAGAAGCTGGAGGAGATGAGAGAAATGCAGAAGATTCGTCAGCGGCCACACGGTGTCAGGTAAGGAAGAAGTTGCTTTGTACGGGGGACTCTCCTCGTTCTGCTGGTGCTGCTGCTGCTCTGGTCTTGGGCTCGCCACCTTTTCCCCAATGTAGCCCAAACCCGGATATATTCAGCGGTCAGCCTCGAGCTATGAGAACTGTGCGGCTCGCTGCTGTGGTTTAAAAAAAAGTTCAACACAGCAAAACACCGGTACCAGATGTTCGGCACGAACCAATTCCTGCCAACCGAACGCAGATGCCGATTCCCGAGTGTTTGGGGTCAAACTCGGACAGGTGGCACCTCTAGATGGCAACCATTTAATGTTCGTATCGTGTGTGAGTGAGAGTGTGTGGCTCATAGTCTTTTCACTCAGATTTATCCGCTTCCGGGATGTGGACCTGGTAAATCTCCTCGATTGAGACCCCACTGGGGCTGTTGGGCCCAGAATGCATTGCCCAGTGGACTGTCTTTCTCTCACAAGAATTACACCTTCAACACAATGCAATGTGCCTGCAACACTTTATAGTTTGATTGAAGTGCTCGCTAACAGCACTTGAAGCAATTGGCGGGACCCCGGGGTCCCATCACTGCCCCGGGGTGGGAAAAACCGCGTAGTGACAACAAAACTAGTGTCAATCGATTGGCCTCGTCGAGAGCTACTCGGGGCACTAAGTTTTGTAAAAAGTTGAAAAATTACATAAACACGTTAAATTCACTGCGGGGGCGGGCTCGCCTTGGCAAAGAAGCTGAGGATCGACGGCTGACCGGAGGGCGTTGTCGCCGCGCGTGACCGTGGCGGATGCCCCGGGGCTTGCGTTTGGCCGGTGGGGTGGCGCCCATCGTGTTGATTGCCGCCTGCTGGCGCTTGTTGGCGCGAGTCTGCGCGGGCGACGCGTTGCTGTCGGGATCACGAGTGGGCGGACTGAAAAAGAATAATTATTGACCTGATTTTTGCGGGACCCCGGGGTCCCGGCAAATGATTCACTTGCCCCAACAGTCTATTGAAGGCTATATTGGGGGGTCTTTGTTTGTCACACATGTGCTGCTGGGTGTACGTGTGGGGTGTGTGTAACCCAATTCCATACTCATTGGGCATAATTGTACCAGTCCAAAAAAAACCAAGAAGAACAATCGTGCACATGCATGGATTATCAAACATTCCAATATCGGAAGGTAGCGTTACCCTTAGCGATGACAGTGTTCGCTTTGTCAAATAAATAAACACCCCGTCAATTATTTATTTTGTCCGTAAAATAATGTAGTCGTGATTTGTATATTTTACTATTTAATATCGCTGGGAGCTTTTTGCCAGTATCAAAAGTATGAAAAATAAGATGAGGTTTTACCCTTTCATGTACGTCATCGGAATGGGAAACGGCTAATGAAGAACGTCACGAAGCAGTCCTTACGGAGCTGCATGCTGCTCTGGTGCCGCAGGTTGCCGACCCCCTGCGCAAAGTCAGAGCCTTTTCGTGAGATCAATGAAAACTGATAATGCCACTCTGCCACTATCAGGCACAACATTGACAAGGGCTGATAATTGTTTTTTTACCCTTTTATCTGGCAACAAAACTGACACCTTTTATACAAGGAGTCGTGTTTACATTGACCACAATACCTGCGGTCGGAACGCAAACAAAAAACAACAACTCTGATAATGTATGTGGCACTGTCCTTGAAATTGATTGGTCCACACCCGAGACAGCTTTCTCTAGAGCCTCGTCTCACGTTGGTGTTGGACCAGAAGACGCCAAAAGGCGCACAACTCAAAAGCAATGCACCATCAGAGTATGAGAGCTCGGGGTAAGCATTTACACCATTGGAAACTTCATTTGCCAGTAACAAAATATGATAATTGTTTTTTTACCCAGATAAAAGGGTAAAAAACCAATTATCATATTTTGTAACTGGCAAATGAGGTGTCCAATGATTGACAAGGGCTGTTGAAGTTGAATATGCTTTTAGCGCTGGGAGTTATTTTGTTATTTTTTATCGCAATGTTGCGGGCAACCCTTCGGTCAACCTGTTGCCGTGCCTGCGCGCGTTGCGGTGAGCAGCGCGGTGGCACTGTCGGTGGGGAAGAAGCTCACCAACGAGGAGGAGACCATGGTGAGTCACTCACGCACCACCAAATTCAACCCAAATGACACTAAAACACACCCGACGTGACACCAAATAAACCCCACACAGGAGTGGTGGCTCAGAGGCCGCAGGCTTTGAGCCAGCACCGTTGAGGGCCCCGGTTCCAATCCAGGTTTCGGCTGCCCGCTTAGTTGATGGCCTCAGCCTGGTCCACTAATGCCCGAAAAAGAGACCCATAAATTTGAATAGAGACCCATAGACTCACATAGAGACCCATGGACTCACACAGACTGAGTTGTGATTAAACCGGGTTCTCAAGTGCAGTGAGTTGTCTCAGTCTGCACTTGCGTAGAGACCCATAGACTTGCATGACATCACAGAAATCCACAATTGCAGATGGGAAAAAACAAACAAACCTAATGTATGCACTATGTTGAACTTATTTTGCGCCGTATGTAGCCAACCGTGCTAATTGGAAGTACGGGGGAAGGACAAGAAACGAAACACAAAAAAATGTTCTAAAGAAATGCATTTTAAATTTTGATTTAAAAGTGCGTAGCCCCAGAAGGATATCTTCTTGCCAGGCTGCCATACCATGCCTTTGCTTCTGGCTCGGCTCGGCAAATGGCCAGTGGAAAACCACCCTTTCCCTTCCCCGCACTTCCGATTAGCACAATTGGCCACGTACTGTGCGAAAGAAGTTCAGCTTACATACATACACTACTATACACTACACACTACAGACTACACTACTATACACTACACTACTATGCAGTACACTATACACTACGCACTACGCTACTATACACTACACTATACACTACACGATTATACACTGCTATACACTACACCACTATAGTACATTGAAAACTAATTTCTTTAGAACTGCTATTTGTGTTTAAATTTGTTGTCCTTACCCGCACACCTCCGATTAGCACGGTTGGCTATATACAGTGGTGCGAAAGAAGTTCATCATGCATAAAAGCATACACAGCGTCTCACACACACGCAGTGTATCACTTGCAGATCATTACACAGCGTCACACACGTCGCAAGCACACAGAAGCATCACACACATACGAAGCGTCACACTCACGATGTCACAAACAGCGTCACACGTAGCGTTAATTGTATATATGAGACTTGTAGGGGTACACACATACAACATGCACACATACATACACACATGCCTGTGCTAAGGGCTCCCATGCTGGCTCGGCTCACATGCGCCAGTGGAAAAAAAATATTTTTGACTGACTGTGTGTTTGGCGGTGGTGCAGAGCGACCCGTTCAAGATGGACACAGGCGGCATGGTGGACATGAAACGGATCAAGGATCGCAATCGCGACCGGTGAAATGCTCAGCCACGGCGTCTTGCTTCGCGTGAATTCCTACCAGTCCCACCACTGTACCACAACAAGTCCCACCACTGTACCCCAACCAGTCCCACCACTGTACCCCAACCAGTCCCACAACTGTACCCCAACCATTCCGACAACTGTACCCCAACCGGTCCCACCACTGTACCTCAACCGGTCCCACCACTGTACCTCAACCGGTCCCACCACTGTACCCCAACGAGTCCCACCACTGTACCACAACCAGTCCCACCACTGTACCCCGACCAGTCCCACCACTGTACCCCAACCGGTCCCAACACTGTACCTCAACCGGTCCCACAACTGTACCCCAACCAGTCCCACCACTGTACCCCAACCAGTCCCACCACTGTACCACAACAAGTCCCACCACTGTACCCCAACCAGTCCCACCACTGTACCCCAACCAGTCCCACCACTGTACCCCAACCGGTCCCACCACTGTACCCCAACCAGTCCCACCACTGTACCCCAACCAGTCCCACCACTGTACCCCAACCGGTCCCACCACTGTATCCCAACCAGTCCCACCACTGTACCACAACAAGTCCCACCACTGTACCCCAACCAGTCCCACCACTGTACCCCAACCAGTCCCACCACTGTACCTCAACCAGTCCCACCACTGTACCTCAACCGGTCCCACCACTGTACCCCAACCAGTCCCACCACTGTACCACAACCAGTCCCACCACTGTACCCCGACCAGTCCCACCACTGTTCCCCGACCAGTCCCACCACTGTACCCCAACCGGTCCCACCACTGTACCCCAACCGGTCTCATATACACAATGCTATGTTTGTGCGACGCTGTTTTTGACGTGTGTATGATGTTCTGTGTGCGTGTGACACCGTGTGTGACGCTGTGTGTGTGTGACACCGTGTGATGCGTGTGACACGGTGTGTGATGCTGCGCACGTCACGCTACGCGTGTGTGATACGCTGTCCGCGTGGCGCCATGTATGATACACCGTGCGTAGGAGCGGCGAGGATGAGGATAAAGACCTCACGAACCTCGGAACGGCCTTCTCGGCTGAGACAAACCGGCGCGACGAGGACGCAGACATGTGAGTGGTGTCCGTGTGTCCATCTGTCCGTGCGTCCGTCCGTCCGTGTGTGCGTGCGTCTGGAGGCAGCCACGGTAACTCGGGGGGGGGGGGGGGGGGGCGGTGCTTCGTTAGCCGCTTGTTGTTGCGGATGTTTGCCGTTCGAATCTGGCGGCCGCCCCGGTTAATACCCGTGTTGGCGGTGGTATCGACCTTGGTAATGCTAATAGTAACAGTGTTGCGTGCCGTCCGCTTCCCCTACAGTGGACTGAAGATCCCTTGACGTCGTTCGCAGGAGCAGGCCAGCGTGTGCCGCGTCAGGGTCCCGATTTTCGTTAGAAAGTTTTAAAATGACAACGCAGGTTATTCAACCGGGATCCCCTGCGCAGCAGCAGACTAAAGCCAGCTGCGTATCGGGCGCTGTGTGCGAAACACGATTCGTCATTACGTACGTTTAACTTCTTTCGCGCCGTACGTAGCCAACCGCGCTAATCGGAGGTGCAGGGGGAAGGACTACGAGCTAAACGCATAAGGCAGTTTTAAAGAATCGACTTTTCAAACTAGAATTAACAGTGCATAGCTCCAGTGGCTTCCTAACATTGGAAGGAAGACGCGTTCCAGACGGCTGCGTCCGAAAGCGCGCGTTACATTGCGATGCTTCTGGAGGCTCGGCAGGTCAGGAAAACCCGGGCACGTTTACCACGGCACTGCCCAGAAAACACGGGGAGAGACGGACCTGAGAAAAATGATGCAGATCAGCCAAACTCCAACCGCAGTCTGCCCAGACGCCTGCCTGGCTAGCATCCGTGTTGCGGATGAAACTGTCCCCGAAGATGCACCGCTTGTTGAAGAATATTACGTAATCCATTTTAACGGATGACTTCACCTCGGGGGTCCACAGTCCAGTAGATATCTGAGCCAGTCCCGAGCGTGGATATGGAGAGTCGGGCGGGAAGGGTACCGACACTTCGGCCGTGAAGAAGAAAAAAAAGACTCAAGTAATCCGGTGCATGTGATGACCAAATGACGAAATGTGGGGTGGGCACCTACGGGCTATGTGCCTATGGATCGTGATGATCGTGGTGATGATGATGATGATGATTCTTACGTGTGATTTTTCTCTGAAGTTGTTTATATGTAGCCAACCGATTGCTGCGGTTTGCTACGTGCGGTGGGAAATAAGTTCAACATATATATACATACGTATACGTACGTGCATGTAGCAGTAGGCGGTGGTGTAGTGAACTTGATTTGGTGCTTTCGTGACTGCAGGAATTACTCTTTGGTTCTTTCGGTAAAGTCACGTAGAAAGAGAAAATTCTAAATTAAATAATAGCATACGATGTTGTTTCTGTGTGTGTCTATGTGTGTTTCTCCCTCTTGTGTGTCTCTGTGTTCTCTTTCTCTGTCTATGTGTGTGTCTCCCTCTGTGTGTCTCTGTGTTCTCTTTCTCTGTCTATGTGTGTGTCTCCCTCTGTGTGTCTCTGTGTTATCTCTCTCTGTGTGTCTATGTGTGTGTCTCTCTCTGTGTGTCTCTCTCTGTTTGTCTCTGTGTTATCTCTCTCTATGTGTCTATGTGTGTGTCTCTCTCTGTGTGTCTCTGTGTTATCTCTCTCTGTGTGTCTATGTGTGTGTCTCTCTCTGTGTGTCTCTGTGTTATCTCTCTCTGTGTGTCTATGTGTGTGTCTGTCTCTGTGTGTCTCTGTGTTATCTCTCTCTGTGTGTCTATGTGTGTGTCTCTCTCTGTGTGTCTATGTGTGTGTCTCTCTCTGTGTGTCTATGTGTGTGTCTCCCTCTGTGTGTCTCTGTGTTATCTCTCTCTGTGTGTCTGTGTGTGTCTCTCTCTGTGTGTCTCTGTGTTCTCTCTCTCTGTGTGCCTATGTGTGTGTCTCCCTCTGTGTGTCTCTGTGTTATCTCTCTCTGTGTGTCTCTGTGTTCTCTTTCTCTGTATATGTGTGTGTCTCCCTCTGTGTGTCTCTGTGTTATCTCTCTCTGTGTCTCTCTCTGTGTGTCTCTCTCTGTGTGTCTCTGTGTGTCTCCCTCTTTGTGTCTATGTGTGTGTCTCTCTGTGTGTCTATGTGTGTGTCTCTCTCTGTGTGTCTCTGTGTTCTCTCTCTCTGTGTGTCTACGTGTGTGTCTCCCTCTGTGTGTCTCTGTGTTATCTCTCTCTGTGTGTCTATGTGTGTGTCTCTCTCTGTTTGTCTCTGTGTTGTCTCTCTCTGTGTGTCTATGTGTGTGTCTCTCTCTGTGTGTCTATGTGTGTGTCTCCCTCTGTGTGTCTCTGTGTTATCTCTCTCTGTGTGTCTATGTGTGTGTCTCCCTCTGTGTGTCTCTGTGTGTGTCTCCCTCTGTGTGTCTCTGTGTTATCTCTCTGTGTGTCTATGTGTGTGTCTCCCTCTGTGTGTCTCTGTGTTGTTTCTCTCTGTGTCTGTGTGTGTGTCTCTCTCTGTGTGTCTATGTGTGTGTCTCTCTCTGTGTGTCTATGTGTGTGTCTCCCTTTGTGTGTCTATGTGTGTGTCTCCCTCTGTGTGTCTCTGTGTTATCTCTCTCTGTGTCTATGTGTGTGTCTCCCTCTGTGTGTCTCTGTGTTATCTCTCTCTGTGTGTCTATGTGTATGTCTCCCTCTGTGTGTCTCTGTGTTATCTCTCTCTGTGTGTCTATGTGTGTGTCTCCCTCTGTGTGTCTCTGTGTGTGTCTCCCTCTGTGTGTCTCTGTGTTATCTCTCTGTGTGTCTATGTGTGTGTCTCCCTCTGTGTGTCTCTGTGTTATATCTCTCTGTGTGTCTATGTGTGTGTCTCCCTCTGTGTGTCTCTGTGTTGTCTCTCTCTGTGTGTGTCTATGTGTGTGTCTACCTCTGTGTATCTCTGTGTTATCTCTCTCTGCTTACGTGTCTGTCTGTGTGTCTCCGGTTCTGTGTTTTATCTATCTCTTAAATTTAGCAATCTTTGGAAGAACGTTAATCAACCAGGTAGGGTGTTGACTGTTATGCTAGCCGACTATCTGTGTTGTATTGCATTATATTTCTAAGTTTACTAGGTTTTTTTTCTCTTTCATTTGTACCCGATGATGGATGGTCTAGCGGTTAATGCACTTCCACCACGAACCCAGTGACCCGATTTCAATTCCCAGTCATGACCAGTGGCGAATATTTGAACCGGTCCTGGGATTCCCCTCGGTCGACTCAACGTTAAATGAATACCTTGTGCAGTGTGGAGTAAACATCAGCGCTGAGCAGACAAAGGCGTGTTGTTGGCCACCTACCCCCTCGCGTGCCGTACCGGCATTGACGGGCGCTCGCTCACGAGACTTGCCCCAACAGTCTGTTCAGGCTGTACGAGGGATCTTTGGTTTTGTGTGTGTGTGTTTGTATGTCATCCCAAGCTAATCGCGCGGAGAACTCGACCAGTCCCATGCTGACCCCTCTCTCCCCCTCGCCTCCCCCTCCATCTACGTCTCTGAGAAGAAAGTGCCTCTGAACGGCAAGAGCCGACTCTGTGTGTGACGGTGGCCTAGCCAGCGATTCTGCGGGGCCGTGCAGCTGCACTGGAGGGGCGGGGGGGGGGGGCCTACGGGCCGGAAGGGGCTCGGGCGCCGCTCCATTGAGACCGGCGGGGGGGGTGGAGAAATTTGACTCGGGGGGGTAATCCACGCTCTTTGGTTCTATTCGGCAAAGTCACGTAGGTAAAAAAATAAAACAACAAAAATCACGACGTTTCGGCCACAACACAAGCGGCCTTCATCAGGTGAAGGGACCAGGCTGTCTCGAAGACTGCGCTGGAGTGAAACACAGAGCCAAGCTCAGACCACGGACCTTTAAGCTGTGTGAGAGGGATTTAAGGTGCCTTGACAAAGGAATTAGCATTAAAAAAAATTTGGCATTTCAATAGGCGGACTTAGCATGATGGAAGGGCAGGGAGAGGGGGGGGGGGGGGTCGACCTGCGAGGTGACACGGCAGCGTCCACACGCCGGTGGCGTGAAAAAGGGGGGATTTTAAGAACCTGCGAAAGTTCGGGGTACCACCACGCTTAATCGCTTGCCACCAGAGCCCATGCCGACAGCGCCGCACCGCCGGCTCCGGTGACGCTAACTGCGCTGCTGCCTTGCGCCGGGCAGGATGAAGTACATCGAGACGGAGCTGCGCAAGCGCAAGGGCGTGGAGGAGAGCGAGGAGATGGCGGCGCGGCAACGCAGCGCGGAGGACGCCCTCTACGAGCTGCCCGAGAACCTGCGCGTCAACTCGGCCAAGCGCACCGAGGAGATGCTCTCCAATCAGATGCTGAGCGGCATCCCGGAGGTGGACCTGGGCATCGAGTGAGCGCGCACGCGGGCGCACAGACACGCGCTCACACACGCCAGCAACCCAACTGGCACTCGCACTGACGCACACTTACCCAGCTGCACACCACTACCCCCGCTGACCCCCCCCCGCCCCCCCTACTGAGCCCCCGCCCACCACTACCCCCCCTGACCCCCACCGACCACTACGCCAACTGACTCCTGCCCACCACTACCCCTCCTGACCCCCGCCCACCACTACGCCCACTGACCCCCGCCCACCACTACGCCCTCTGACCCCCTGCCCCCCACTGTCCCCGCCCACCACTACCCCTCCTGACCCCCGCCCACCACTACCCCTCCTGACCCCCGCCCACCACTACCCCCACTGACCCCTGTCCACCACTACCCCTCCTGACCCCCGCCCACCACTACCCACACTGATCCCTGTCCACCACTACCCCCACTGACCCCCGCCCACCACTACCCCCACTGTCCCCGCCCACCACTACCCCTCCTGACCCCCGCCCACCACTACTCCCACTGACCCCCGCCCACCACTACTCCCACTGACCCCCGCCCACCACTACTCCCACTGACCCCTGCCCACCACTACCCCCTCTGACCCCCTGCCCCCCACTGTCCCCGCCCACCACTACCCCTCCTGACCCCCGCCCACCACTACCCCCACTAACCCCTGTCCACCACTACCCCTCCCGACTCCCGCCCACCACTACCCCCACTGACCCCTGCCCACCACTACCCCTCCTGACCCCCGCCCACCACTACCCCCACTGACCCCCGCCCACCACTACCCCCACTGACCCCCGCCCACCACTACCCACACCACCCCATCCGCGTGTCTGGGGCAGGGGGCAGGGCCTACATAGAAAGAGGCGGGGCTTCAAGAAGAAGGGGCCAATTTCTAAAAAGGAAAGGCGCAGAGCCAAAAGAGGAAGAAGAGGTAATGGGCGGGGCCTAAGCAGTAAGGGGCGGTGCCCGCGCAGCAAGAGGGCGGGACCTAAGCAGCAAGGGGATGAGGCTTAAACAATAAGGGGCGAGGTCTAAGCAACAAGGGGCGGGGGCCTGATCAGTAAAGTGGGCGGGGCTAAAAAGGAAAGGGCAGGGCCTACAGAGGATAAACTCCCCTTTTTCAAGTTAAGGCAATAGCAGCAGCGTAGATTCCCAACGCGTGTACATGAAAGGCAGAGGCAGCGGCATCACGGCCACAGCGCCTGAGACGAAGCCAACGGCAGGCCGACGGTCTGTCACGGAACCAGTCGTGCAACCGTCTCTCGCGTGCGCGCCTCATCTCTCTCTCTCTCTCCCCCCCCCTCTCGTGTGCCAGCGCTAAGATCCGCAACATCGAGATGACGGAGGAGGCGAAGCAGCTGCTGCTGGCCGAGCGGCGCCGCCACCGCCAGCAGAACAACACCTCCTTCGTGCCCACCAACATGGCCGTCAACTATGTGCAGCACAACCGATGTGCGTACACGCGTGCCATGCGCGCGTACGTACGTGTGTTGCGGGTGCACCCGTGTTCGTGCGTGTACGGGTGGGCGCGTGTACGTCAGTGTGTGTGGGTGGGTGTACGCGTGCTGGCCACCCGGCCCCTCGTGTGCCGCGCGCCAGCCTTCACGGGTGCTACTCGCGAACGGCATTTGCCCCAACAGTCTGTTGAGGCTGTACGAGGGATCGTTGTATTTGTTTGTACGTACATGTGTGGTATGTGTTCGTGCGTGTACAGGTGTGCAGGTGTGCGTGTGTGTGTGTGTGTGGGGAGCGGTAGTGTAGTGGTTAGCCCTCTGCGCTACGAACCCGGCGATGCAAGTTCGATTCCCACTCACGCAGTGACTATCATCTGAACCGATCCTAGGCTGCCTCCCCTAGGTCGACTCGGACTCAAATGAGTACCTGGTGCGGTGTGTAAACATCGCCACGAGAGAGACAAAGGTGGCCAAGTGTGGTGCTGGCCACCCACCCCCTCGTGTGCTGTGCCAGCCTTAATAGGTGCTCTCTAACAGCATTTGCCCCAACAGTCTAATAAGACTATACGGGTGATCTTTGTATTCGTACGTAAGTGTGTGGGTGTGCGCGTATGTATGTCTGTTTTTGAGTGTGGTGGTTTAGCGGTTAGCGTGCTGCACTATGAACTCCGTGTCCCGAGTTCGATTCCCATTCACGATTATCCGAACTGGTCCTGGGCCTCTCCGAGGTCTATTCAGTCTCAAATGAGTACCTGGTGTGGTGTGTAAATGTCGCCACTGGAGAGACCAAGGCTGTTTCACTCGTGTCCCGCATGCGTCCTAGCGAGATGTTCAATACTTCGCCTGGTATACAGGAGGTCGTTGGTTCGATCCCGACCCCTGACGCCTGCTGTATTATTTGGAGTTTGCATGTTTCTCGCCCCGTGGCCTCGTGGATTTTTCTCCGGGTCCTGCGGTTTTTCCCTGCGCATTTAGAATCAACGTCGCGCGTTTTAGAGTATTTGGCTGCTATACATTTCCACGTGATAAGCCACTTGGTTGAGCTATCATTTGTTTCTGAAAAAGAGCTATTTAGCTCAGTGGGCCTTACCTTGTAAAATAAAAAATAGGTTAGTTTTAATAAGTCTATAGCAGGACCGCTCGGCTTGTGCGTTGTAAAAAGAACGCGGTCCCTCCTGAGCTGGGCCGTGCCGAGACGGTTTGGCTCAGTTGTGGTAAAGGAGAAGCCGGGGTCGTGTCGTGTGTCACGTTGAGTCTGTATTGATGCGAGTCCCTGTCGCCTCCTCCCCTCCGGCTCCCCCACCGTGCAGTCTCCCACGAGCAGCTGGGCCACGGGTCTCGACGGGGCTATCACCGCGAGGAGAGCAAACCTCGTGCCAGCAAGGCCCAGCAACACCCCGACAAGAAGGAGGGTGCGTGGTCACGCTCGCCACTACGCTCATACACACACGGCCGCCCCTGTAGCTGTCACCACCTTCATAACCGCCACTACGCTGATACACACACGGCCGCCCCTGTAGCTGTCACCACCTTCATAACCGTCACTACGCTGATACACACATGGCCGCCCCTATAGCTGTCACCACCTTCATGACCGCCACTACGCTCATAGACACACGGCCGCCCCTACTACCGTCACTGCCTTCATAACCGCCACTATGCTGATACACACACGGCCACCCCTAGAACTGTCACCACCTTCATGACCGCCACTATGCTCATACACACACGGCCGCCCCTACTACCGTCACCACCTTCATAACCGCCACTACGCTCATACACACACGGCCGCCCCTATAGCTGTCACCACCTTCTTAACCGCTACTACGCTCATACACACACGGCCACCCCTATAGCTGTCACCACCTTCATAACCGCCACTACGCTCATACACACACGGCCGCCCCTGTAGCTGTCACCACCTTCATGACCGCCACTACGCTCAGACACGGCCGCCCCTATAACTGTCACCACCTTCATAACCGCTACTACGCTCATACACACACGGCCGCCCCTATAGCTGTCACCACCTTCATAACCGTCACTACGCTCAGACACACACGGCCGCCCCTATAGCTGTCACCACCTTCATAACCATCACTACGCTCATACACACACGGCCGCCCCTATAGCTGTCACCACCTTCATGACCGTCACTACGCTGATACACACATGGCCGCCCCTATAGCTGTCACCACCTTCATGACCGCCACTACGCTCATAGACACACGGCCGCCCCTATAACTGTCACCACCTTCATAACCGCTACTACGCTCATACACACACGGCCGCCCCTACTACCGTCACCACCTTCATAACCGCCACTTCGCTCATAGACACACGGCCGCCCCTACTACCGTCACCACCTTCATAACCGCTACTACGCTGATACACACACGGCCACCCCTATAACTGTCACCACCTTCATGACCGCTACTACGCTCAGACACACACGGCCGCCCCTATAACCATCACCACCTTCATAACCGCTACTACGCTCAGACACACACGGCCGCCCCTATAGCTGTCACCACCTTCATAACCGCCACTACGCTCATACACACACGGCCACCCCTATAACCATCATCACCTTCATAACCGCTACTACGCTCAGACACACACGGCCACCCCTATAGCTGTCACCACCTTCATAACCGCCACTACGCTCATACACACACGGCCGCCCCTACTTCCATCACCACCTTCATAACCCCTATAACCATCACCATTTTCATAACCGCCACCACGCTCCGACACACAGCCACCTTTATCTATCACCACCTTCATAACCGCCACTACACTAATATGCAGAGCCACGTCTATTACCATCACCACCTCATAACCGCCGTGTACTCCCGTGTGTCCCCGTGTGTCCCCGTCTATCCCCGCGTGCCCCCGTGCGCCCCCGTGTATCCCCACCACAGGTGACCACCGCCCTGGGTTCAAGCGACCCAATGCCGACAAAGCGACGGACGACTTCCACTACGAGAAGTTCCGCAAGATGAACCGGCGCTACTGAGGGGGGGGGGGGCGGTGTGGGTGGGTGGGTGGGGGGGGGGGAGGCGGTGGAGTGGAGGGGGGGGGGCAGGGTCACCGGAGGAGTCACGACCCCCCCACGACACGCCGGGCCGGGGGGGCCCAGCGTGTCGTGACGATCGTTTTCCGATGGAGGGACGGCGCCCAACAGCAGGACCTTTACAATCGTCGTCCTCCGTGAGCCATGGTCAACCCACTGGTGGATGAAGGCCTCGAAGGCCTTGAAGGCCTTGAAGGCCTCTCCCTCCCCCCCCGCCCCCAAGCCACCGCCGAGACCGCCCCTCGTGTTCCTGTGATTGTGATAATCTGCCTTGGAACCTGCTGCGCAGCACCAGTTTCATCGCTCCGTCTCCCGGGCGGAACGTCCTCCCTCTTGGACCCGGCTTTGACGTTTGCTCCCGAGCCACCACCGGTGGGGGGGGGGGTGGGGGGGGGGGGGCGGGGGTGGTCCACGGCCCCCTTCCCGTGACGATTGCTCTGCCCCCCAAGCTCGCTCGCTTTGCCCCAACGCGATCGATCGGATGCCGTACGATGGCGTTCCTGATATTACACCACTCTTGATTTACTCAAAGTGTTTCGTGTGTGTGCGCGTGTGTCGCCGTCGTGGTGGTGGGCGGTCGTGCAGCGGCGAGCGCTACGCCGCCCTACGAATCCGGTGACTCGAGCTCAATTCCCGTTCACGGCCAACACCGGTGACGATTATCTGAACCGGTCATGGGGGCTTCCCTAGGTCGACTCGGCCTCAAATGAGTACCTGGTGTGGTTGGTGTGTAAACATCGCCACTGGGGAGACAAAGTCGGCCGGGCGTGGCGTTGGCCACCCACCACCTCGTCTGCCGTGCCGGCCTTCGTAGGTGCTCGCTTACAGCACTTGCCCCCAACAGTCTGTTCAGGCTATACGGGGATCTTTGTCTTTGCCCCCGTCGCGGTGGTGCAGGAGATGTTACCTCCCTAGCCTGGCACGCAGGAGTGAGTGGGTTCGATCCCGAACCCTGATGATGCCGATACATTTGGAGTCTGCGTGTGTGTGTCCCCCGCCCTATTCTGCAGAGTGCGAGTGTGTGAAAGTGCGTAAGTGTGTGTGTTAGTCTGTGTGAGCAAGTACGTATGTTGAAGTTCTTTTGCAATGTACGTAGCCAACCATGCTAATCGGAGGTGTGTAAGTGTGTTGGTTTATGTGAGTGTTATTCTGTCTGAGTGTAAGTGTGTTAGTCTATGTGAGTGTTATTCTGTATGAGTGTACGTGTGTTGGTCTATGTGAGTGTTATTCTGTTTGAATGTAAGTGTGTTAGTCTATGTGAGTGTTATTCTGTATGAGTGTGTGTTCGTCTATGTGAGTGTTAGTCTGTCTGAGTGTAAGTGTGTTAGTCTATGTGAGTGTTATTCTGTCTAAGTGTAAGTGTGTTAGTCTATGTGAGTGTTCTTCTGTCTGAGTGTAAGTGTGTTAGTCTATGTGAGTGTTATTCTGTCTGAGTGTAAGTGTGTTAGTCTACGTGAGTGAGTGAAAGTGTTGTACTTATCTATGTATGACGAACTTATTTCGCTCCGTACGTAGCCACAAAACTATACACAATAGCAGTTTTAAATAAATGAGTTATAGATTTATAGGTGTGTAGCGCCAGTGACTAACCATACTTCACCACGCTGGTCCAGATGGGTCACTAGGCTCGCAGCACCACGTGCTGCTAACGAAACCAACCCGCCGCCCTGTACTTAATCGGCACACCATGTGCTCTTGCCATCGTTTAATTGGTACAGAGACTTTCAGGGTTTTAAAACGAACAAAGTTATATTCTAGGGCCCTGGTATACCGCACTCCATTTCCGCCCCCTCGTCCCGGCCTGGTGGGTGAGAGAACTCTCCCATAATGCGCCCACCCATCTCGTCGCGGCCAAGCAGACCTCGACGTTGGCTTATTCGGCTAACGAACCGCCTGTATCGAAAGTGTCGTGTATAGTGTAGTGTACAGCAGTGCAGTGTATAGTAGTGTAGCGTAAAGTAGCGATGTGAGGCTGTAACAGTTCGAGACCTTGGTGTCCGAAGCAGATTTTGTGTGTGACGCTGCTGCGTAGTGTTCTAGACCATGAACTTCCTTGCAGCGCATTATGCAAAATGGAATAGAACGCCGTCTGTTCCCGGTGATGGGAGGTGGTTGCCTGTGCATTGTTGGCAGGGGTGTTCAGGAAGTACAGTCTTTCTCCTGTAACGACAGGTGTTTTCATAACGCAATGGACGTATTTGGGAACGCGTATTTTTTTTTTTTATAACGCCGGATGCGAATTGGTTGTAACGCGATCGAGTGAACAGAAACTACGTCGCGCGAGTTCCCGCATCAGGCGGGATGCTGCTGGATGCTTCTAGATACGACCCACACGCCTCGGTCTGTTCAACGCATGTCATGTGTTATCGCGGACTGATTTACCCTGTATTGTATACGATTTATTTTACGCGATTTTTCTCAAAACGCGGTGTCCTTCAGGAACTCGGTTACCGTATTATAGGAGAACAGACTGTACGATAATAGTTTGTCATCCTTTACACCCCGCTGCAACTCCGATTAGCACGTTTGGCTATGTACGGTGCGACAGAAGTTCAACATGCATGCACGCATATCTCGTACGAATCAAGTGCGACGATGATCTTGCTTTGCAATATATCATCGCGCCATGATTATCTTGGCCCTGTTGAAATGTTTGCTGCGTTACATCCTGACGAAATATTTGTGAAACAACAGTTTTAAATAAATGAGTGAAGTCCTACAGATCACCCTTACCCATTCATACAAAACGAGTGCTTAGCCAATCACCAATTTTTTTTATTTTAATGCTTTCGTGACTGCAGGGATTCATATTCTTGGTTCTTTCGGTAAAGTCACCACGTAGAAGGGAAACAATAAAATAATAAAAATATAAAACAATAAAATTCTCACGACGTTTCGACTGCAACACAAGCAATCATCGTCAGGTGTGAAAACCACAGCAAGAAAATTTGTTTTTCACACCTGATGATGATTGCTTGTGTTGCAGTCGAAACGTCGTGAGAATTTTATTGTTTTTTATTTATTATTTTATTGTTTCCCTTCTACGTGACTTTACCGAAAGAACCAAGAATATCAATCACCAATTGTCGATTCTGCGAGCTCACGTCTGTTGTATTCTCTGGCACGTTGCCAAGTGGATTTTTTTCTCCGGTTCCAATTTTTACCCCTCCACATTTGTAAAAATCGACCTGCGTTTCGAGTATTCGGCTGCTACAAATGTCCACGCGATAAGCCACTGTTGAGCTATAATTTAATTTGTGGGCAGGTCGCTTCTGAAAAAGAGCTTCATTGCTCAGTGGGCCTTACCTGGTAAAATAAAATTAAAATAAAATTGTATTTTTTTTTAATAGATGTTCAGTCGTAGGGATTGATTGTGGCGTTAGTCGTGATTTCTCCCTTTCAGTAGAGTGGGCCATGTGTATGCTGCTGCTGCTGCGATCTAAACCAACTGGCTACCGTTCCTCCCTTAAAACAACCCCCAACTCGTATCCCCTAGGCCACCGTCCTGCTACTGCTGCTACTCCCTGCCCTCCAGCTACGACCAGGCCTACCCCAACCCCTATCACTACTACTATCACTACCCCAACCCCTATCACTTCCCCAACACCTACCCCAACCCCTATCACTACCCCAACCCCTATCACTTCCCCAACACCTACCCCAACCCCTATCACTACCCCTATCACTACCGCAACCCCTATCACTTCCCAAACACCTATCACTTCCCCAACACCTAGCCCAACCCCTATCACTACTACTATCACTTCTCCAACCCCTATCACTTCCCCAACACCTACCCCAACCCCTATCACTACTACTATCACTTCCCCAACCCCTATCACTTCCCCAACACCTACCCCAACCCCTATCACTACCCCAACACCTATCACTTCCCCAACACCTACCCCAACCCCTATCACTTCCCCAACACCTACCCCAACCCCTATCACTACCGCAACCCCTATCACTTCCCCAACCCTTAGCACTACCCCTATCACTACCTCAACCCCTATCACTACCTCAACCCCTATCACTTCCCCAAACCCTATTACTACCCCAACCCTTATCACTACCCCTATCACTACCCCTATCACTACCCCAACCCCTACCACTACCCCAACCCCTATCACTACCCCAACCCCTATCAGTACCCCAACCCCTATCACTACCCCAACACCTATCACTACCCCTATCACTAACCCAACCCCTATTACTACCGCAACCCCTATCACTACCCAAACCCCTATCACTACCCCAACCCCTATCACTACCCCAACCCCTTTCACTATCCCAACCCCTATCACTACCCCAACCCCTATCACTACCCCAACCCCTATCACTACCCCAACCCCTATCACCACCCGAACCTCTATCACTACCCCAACCCCTATCACTTCCCCAAACCCTATCACTACCCCTTTCACTACCCCAACCCCTATCACTACCCCAACCCCTATCACCACCCCAACCTCTATCACTACCCCTACCTCTATCACTACCCCTATTACTACCCCAACTCCTATCGCTACCCCAACCCCTATCACTACCCCAACCCCTATCACCACCCCAACCTCTATCACTACCCCTACCTCTATCACTACCCCTATTACTACCCCAACTCCTATCGCTACCCCAACCCCTATCACTACCCCAACCCCTATCACTACCTCAACTATCAGTACCTCCTTAACGCTCCCAGCTGCCCTCCTGTCACCATAGCTACACCGCCACTTTTAATAGCAACCCCACTCGTTATTTGAACCACGATCATCTTAAGTACAACTTTTTTAATGTTTGTAAAGCGCCTTGAAGTAAGGCGCTGCTGTATACGTCTTTCGAGGATAAGAGTGAAATAATTTATATGGAGGAACCCTTTGGCAAGCTTTCAAACTGGAAGAATAACATCACAAAAACAAGACCACACAAACACAGTTCACGAAGGGAAACTGTGTTT